CTGTAGCCAGCCTCCCCCTGAGCATCTGGAGTGGATAAAAGACCACAGTCCCTCCTTGATGGCCCCATTTTCTTTCTTTTTGGCCGCACCATTCAGCAGTGCAGGATTTTAGTCTCCCAACCAGGGATCAAACCCGTGCCCCTGCAGTGGAAGCTCTGAGTCCTAATCACTTGACCTCCAGGCAAGTCCTGATAGGCCCCTCAGTTCAGTTCAGTTCAGTCACTCAGTCCTGTCCGACTCTTTACGACCCCATGAATTGCAGCACGCCAGGTCTCCCTGTCCATCGTTAACTTCCGGAGTTTACTCAAACTTATGTCCATTGAGTCGGTGATGCCATCCAGCCATCTCATTCTCTGTCGTCCCCTTCTCCTCCTGCCCCCAATCCCTCCTAGCATCAGGGTCTTTTCCAATGAGTCAACTCTTCGCATGAGGTGGCCAAAGTATTGGAGTTTCAGCTTCAGCATCAGGCCTTCCAATGAACACCCAGGACTGATCTCCTTTAGGAGGGACTGGTTGGATCTCTTTGCAGTCCAAGGGACTCTCAAGAGTCTTCTCCAACACCATAGTTCAAAAGCATCAATTCTTCTGTGCTCAGCTTTCTTCACAGTCCAACTCTCAAGTCATACATGACCACTGGAAAAACCATAGCCTTGACTAGATGGACCTTTGTTAGCAAAGTAATGTCTCTGCTTTTTAATATACTATCTAGGTTGGTCATAACTTTCCTTCCAAGGAGCAAGCATCTTTTAATTTCACGGCTGCAATCACCATCTGCAGTGATTTTGGAGCCCAAAAAAATAAAGTCTGACACTGCTTCCACTGTTTCCCCATCTATTTCCCATGAAGTGATGGGACCAGATGCCATGATCTTAGTTTTCTGAATGTTGAGCTTTAAGCCAACTTTTTCACTCTCCTCTTTTACTTTCATCAAGAGGCTTTTTAGTTCCTTTTTAGTGGTATCATCTGCCTACCTGAGATTATTGATATTTCTCCCAGCAATCTTGATTCCAGCTTGTGCTTCTTCCAGCCCAGCATTTCTCATGATGTACTCTACATTTAAGTTAAATAAGCAGGGTGACAATATACAGCCTTGATATACTCCTTTTTCTATTTGGAACTAGTCTGTTGGTCCATGTCCAGTTCTAACTGTTGCTTCCTGACCTGCATATAGGTTTCTCAAGAGGTGGGTCAGGTGTCTGGTATTCCCATCTCTTTCAGAATTTTCCACAGTTTATTGTGATCCACACAGTCAAAGGCTTTGGCGTAGTCAATAAAGCAGAAATAGATGTTTTTCTGGAACTTTCTTGCTTTTTCGATGATCCAGCAAATGTTGGCAATTTGATCTCTGGTTTCTCTACCTTTTCTAAAACCAGCTTGAACATCTGAAAGTTTACGGTTCACGTATTGCTGTAGCCTTGCTTGGAGAATTTTGAGCATTACTTTACTAGCATGTGAGATGAGTGCAATTGTGGGATAGGCCCCTATTTTCTACCAAATAGGGGTAGAAAAAACAAACAGCTTGTGTCCTGAGGCTTAGCCAAGAAGTGCTCCTTTGGGTTGTCCAGACAAGAGGAGAGAAGACAGTCTAATCCTGTGATACCACTGATTAGCAACCAGGATCCTGACTAGATTTCATCACTGACAGCAGGTCACTCACACCAGGGACGTCAGGCTCACAAACTCGGGGTCAAATCTGGGAAGGAGGAGGCAAGACCCCACTCAGGTGCCAGGACAGAGAAAAGTCAGATGTTCACTCCTTTGTTTCATGACTTTGCCCTGTTTTCTTCCAACAAGGCCAGACCAATTGGAAGCGGCATCTGGAAGTATCTGGAATCCTGTTCGGCTTGATTTATAAGATGGGTTTCACTATGAACACTGCTGACTTTGTATAACGGCGTTATTTCCTCATGGGATTAGTTAACAGAGGCCACACAGCCCTCAGCAAAACAACGTTAACACTGAGCTCTCAGTTGAAAACAGTACCAGGCAGGCAGGCTAGGACCCTGAGGATTGAACTCTAAATGCTTTGGTTCAAAAAATCAAGGATTAAAAATGAATATTCCATTAAAATAGAAATCCAGTTTAAAGGTTTATGAAAAGTAGGGTGGAAAAAGAGGTCTGGACAAGTTAGGCTGATTGCTCAAAGATCTAGAAACAGAGTGGGGAAACCTGTCTGCTCCCCGACTCCCTCTTTAACAGTTGAAGAAATTAAGGCAGAAGGATGAAGTCATAGTTTGCTCTGGCCCATTAGCAAGTTGATGCCAGAGCTGGGACTGGGTCCCCTCTGTGCCTCTGAAGCCTGGATTCAGTGTAAAGGAGAAAACTCAGGATTCAAACCCAGGTCAGGAAGAAAGGAAGGAGAAGCAGGATGAGGGAAGGGGTAGGCAGATAGACAGAAACAGTCTCATGGTCTGAGACAATGGAACCTGATCACAGACTTTAAGGGACCTGCCGAGGGCTGTCTGGTACCCAATGTCCTCTTCTTTTCTTTCTGGGTAACAGTGACCACAGGGCCTTTTCATCCCTATGGCTCTATTTTTTTTTTTTTTTGGCCCAGTGGCATGTGGGATCTTAATTCCCTGACCAGGGATTGAACGCTTGTCTCCTGCATTGGAAGCTCAAAGTCTTAACTGCTGAACCACTGGGGCAGCCCCAGAAGAGCCATTATAAAGGAACCAGCCCAAGACTTCAGCTGGCTAGGCTGAAGTAAGTGCAGACTTAGGGATCTGCCAGCAAGTGCCTTTGCTAGGAATCTGGGACTTGGAACCTGAGAGAGAGAAGTCCGTCTGTGAAGCTAAGGCTGCAGATTAAGCCTGGAGATTGTTGTGGCCGTGTTTCCTGCAATGTGGAGGGAACTGGTCTGCAGAGAGAAGACAGGCAGCACTGCAGGGGCGAGAGCTGGAAGGACAGTCCTGATGGGGTTTTTTAATTCCTGGTCATAGTTTTTCTCGAAGTTCTAGGAGTCAATACATTTTTTTTTTTGCCTAAGTTTGTTTAGCTTGGATTTCCTCGTGGGTAAGTCCTCACTGATGTGAAGGTTCTCCACTAGCGCCAGCTGGAGGGGCCCAGGTCTGGGTTCCTGGCTGGTTGGGTCAGAAAGATCATGGGGGAAAGCAGGCAGTTTAACTTGGTAGCAGAGCAGCTGGCAATTCAAACACATGTGAACTGTCTGTCATGGTGGGGGTGGAGGCAGGGTCGGAACTCCTGAAAAGTGTCCAGTGAGGATCCAGTAGTCTTGGCAAGCACGGTCTGTTAAGGAGGATTGAAGTCCCTGGGGTCTTGAGGTGTGGGGTTAGAGGAGTCCGATTAATGAACAGGAAGTCAGGGCAATCTCACCCCTAGTATTTGGGGGATCCAGGACAAGAGTACAGATGGAGATGCAGTTTTTAAATGTTAAGTGTCAAGTTAAAAAACTGTGAAATAAAATACTTAGCACATGGCGAGTATTCAGTCTTTCTACCTTGGCCATTCTGTAAAGACTCGGAAGACCAGTTTGGGTATAGAATTCTTGGGGTCCTCATAGTTCCATGGTGGATATGGCAATGCAGGGACAGCCGGCCCCTGGCTCCCAGCCCTTGGCTGGCTCTCCTTCTTTCTGCACCCTGAGGACCTCAGCATGAATATGCAGGCACCCCCAGCCAGAATGTCCAATATCTGTCTGCACCCAGCAAACACTGCCTCTCAGCCACGTTGAGAACCTGGGATAGTGTATTCCTCTGTGGATGGACAGGTACCGGGGAAGCTGCTCAGGCTCTGAACGTGGACTCGGCCACTTGGGCGTGAGATCTCGAGTTCCCGAGATCTGCAGCATGGTCTAGAAGGGGGTGCAGGCTCTTGGGGGACGCTTCTCCTTGGTCCTGTAGAACCCAGGTCCAGTGAAATGGGCCTGGCTAGCACTGTCCTGCCCCTCTGAGAAGGATACGGTCATGGGCTGACCCAAGGCAGTGAGTCGGTCCTAGAACATGCTGGATTGGGGAGGGGGACAGGAGACTGCCCAGCTGTGCAGTTGTGGGCTCTCTTTGCCACAAGGTCTTTGTAAAATGATGGCTCTGAGTCAGAGGTAGAGATTAATAATCCACTGTTTGGGGCCAAATTTAGGTTTGAATTTTGAGGGCTTTTATCCCTTTGCTGTGTGATTTTGGGCAAAGTATTTAATTTCCCTGAGGACTGATTTTCTCATCTGTAAAGTGCGGACATACCCTCTCCAGGCGGCTTTGAGGATTAAATGATGTCCATGAAGAGATCAGCATAGTAAGTGCTCTGTAACTGGCAGCAGCTGTGTTGTTATTCTTTTTCTACCGTTGTTGAGATGGCTTACAGCTCTAAAGTGACTGCTCTAGGGCTATGCTTGGAAAGGAGAGACCCATTGGCCCTCTGATGTTATTCTCTCTTCTCTGAGAGTCACTGCTGCTGATAGTCAGGAGCCTGAGCTCTGATTTCCTTGTATCATTTACTTAACTGTGAACCACTGGCAAGTCACTTTGCTTCCTGGAGCCTCAGTGTCCCTGTTGGGAAAATGGGACAATAACAGCATCCTTTCCTGGCAGTGCTATTAGGAGTGAGTGAGATGATCCATCTAAGACCTTAACCAAGGTTTGCCTGGCACAAAGCAGGCTTTCAAAGCTTTTCTTAATCAATACCTCCCTTCTCTCTCCTGCTGTCCTCAGCCCAGCCGTGGGCAGCTGCTGTTGTGATATTGGGGTTCTAGGGGAGCTGTTTCAGGACCCATCTGTCCTGGACAATCTTCACTCCGTGGAATAACGGCTCCTGAGGAAGGAAAATCTCAAATCTGATTTGTTTGCTTAAATCCAAGCTCTAATTGCTTTGGGAAAAGGCCCATGTTGGCTGAAATCATTTCTTGTTTTGTTCTTTTTTGGCCCCTGTTGGGCAAAACTTAATCTCAGTCAGACTTCTTGATTAACTGGGGAAGAAGAATTTGCCAAGGAAAGAAAAGAGCAGGCTGGTTTCTTCAGAACTCAAACGAGGAAACTGCTATGTGATCAGTACTCTTTCTGGACAGCTTCACTTCCTTCTTTTTCTTGTGTAAGAAAATCTAAGTTAAACAAATCTGCACCAAGGATGGACAAATCCGGCTTCTCTGGGAGTGCTGATGGGCAGGGGGCCTGGTGGCACCAGAGGCTCTGGTAGATGCTGGGGGTTCCCAGCACAGGCATGCCCCGGGGAGGCTTGCTCTGCTCCAAGGGCAGCCTGGAGGAAAAGAAGCAGGTGCGTGCAGATTCCTCAGGCACCTGGGGGCTCACTGCTGCCCCCTGCTTCCATGTAAGCCCTGGGTCGAGCACCGTGGGCCCCATCATCAAAGCATGTTGTCCACTTTCAAAGACATGTAAACAGTGATCCTTTCTACTTGACCCTCCATCACGGGTCTTTCCTCCTGTTTATCTCTGAACACATTGAAAAGCCATCTACTTCCGCCCCTCAAACACCTTCCTTTCATTTCCAGGTCCCTGCCACCGTCGCCTTCACCCAGCTCTGTGCCAACCAAGTTCAGAGCTCCCAGAAGCTCCTCTTTCTGTCTTGCCTGGGGCCTGGCCTCATGCTCCTCCTTTATTTCTCTCTCTCTCTAATTTTTATTTGGGGTAAAATATGCTTCCCTGGTGGCTCAGATGGTAAAAAAAAAGTCTACCTCCAATGCAGGAGACCTGGATCCGATCCCTGGGGTGGGAAGATACCCTGAAGAAGGGAATGGCAACCCACTCCAGTATTCTGGCCCAGAGAATCCTATGGACAGAGGAGCCTGGTGGGCCACAGTCCATGGGGTTGCAGAGTTGAACATGACTGAGTGACTAACACAACACAGAACATAGAATTTACCATCTTAGCCACCCTAAGTGCACAGCTCTGTGGCATTAAGTGCTTTTACATTGTCATGCAACCATCACCACTATCCGTCTCTGGAACACTTGTCATCTTGCAAAACTGAGACTCTGTAGTCAGTAAAAAAGAATCCGCCCTTCTCCTCCCCACCAGCCCCTGGCAACCACCATTCCACTTTTTCACTTTCTGTGAGTTTGACCACTCTAGGAACCTTGTGTAAGTGAAATTACACAGCATTTGTCCTTCTATAACTGGCTTATCTCCCTGAGCACAATGTCCTCATGGTCCATCTATGTTGTAGCAGCTCTTCTCTTAGCGTTTCCTTTGGAGTGGCTGCATCCTACCCGTCTTTTGGATCTGAGTGTGAAATCCCTTCTTCTTCCAGGAGTTCCAGGGGCCTCCTCAACCCCTGCCACTGGTGCTCCCACAATGCTTTGCACCCTCCTTCAGGCAGATTAGGGGCGGAGATCCAGGCAGAGTAGGGGCGGAGCCTAGAGACCCCTCTGCCCTCCCGAGCATGGATCCTCAGGGCACAGGCTCCTCTGCATTTTTGGTTATATCCCAGGGTCCCATCGCAGCCCCGTGCCCTGCAGAGCAGAGCGGAGCACAACAAACAGTGCAGAGTGAGTGCTGAAAACACTTTTCCTAAAATATTCACTGACAATTTCTCATAAACCTTGAGACCAAATTAGCACATACTTGACCCATCAGGGGCATGGGGAATCTTAGCCAGCACAGGGTTTGTCTCTAAGGCACAACTCTCCATCCGCTCACTGATTCTCTGGCCTTTCCCTCAACCCTGCTCTGTCAGCACCCACGGCTTCTTGGGGAGCCCAGCGGTGTCTCCGGCCCTGAGCTCCAGGCACAGTCCCCGTCACCCACTCGCCTCCTGGTGTGTGTTTGTGGAGGTGGTCTCCCTGTCTGCCTCTCCTGGCCTCACGTCACCCTGCACAGCCTGGAAAGTGCCTCCTCCTGGCCACCTCTCTACCCCTGTTCACTCCAGGACCCCCGGCCCTGGTGGTCTCAGCGAGTAACACTGACGCCGTCACTCGGGCCTGCCCTCTGGGGAGGAGTCCTCATTCCACAGTAGTCTGCCCACTGCCAACAGCTGCTACTTCCTTCTTTCCTATGCTCACACAGAAGCCCTTCTCCAAGGCCTGTGGAGGAGTGGACAGACGGTGGCGGCATGTTCCTGCCTTCCCACTGACCAGTGCTTTGACTTTAGGCAAATCACAATTCGTCCCGAAGGCTTGGTCTCCTCATCTGTAAGTGGAGATAACAAGGAGTATGTACCACACAGACGTCGAGAATGAGCTTAACGATTGCCGAGGGGAAGGATGGGAGGAAGGGATAGTTAGGTAGTTTGGGATGGACATGTATACACTGCTGTATTTAAAATGGATAACCAGGGGCTTCCCTGGTGGTTCAATGTAAAGAATCTGCCTGCCAATGCAGGACACACGGATTCAATCCCTGATCCAGGAAGATCCCACATGTCACGGAGCAGTTAATTCTGTGCGCCACAACTATTGAGCCTGCGCTCTAGAGCCTGGGAGCCGCAGCCCCTGAGCCCACATGTCACAGCTACGGAAGCCTGCACACCCTAGGGTCCGTGCTCTGCACCAAGAGAAGCCACCTCAGGGAGAAGCCCACGCACCACGAGAGACTAGCCCTGACTCCCACAACTAGAAAGAAGCCCGCGCATAACCACAAAGATCCAGCACAGCCAAAAATAAAATTAAAAACTAAAATGAAGTAAAATAAAATGGATAACGAATAAGGATTGACTGTATAGCACAAGGAACTCTGCTCAGTGTTATGTGGCAATCTGGATGGGAGGGGAGTTTAGGGGAGAATGGATACCTGTATGACTGAGTACCTTTGCTATTCACTTCAAACTATCACAACACTGTTTGTTAATTGGCTATACTCCAATACAAAATAAAATTAAAGATAAAAAGGAGTACGTCCCCAGAAGCCTGTGAGGATAAAGCCTAGTCATGCAGCGGTTCCCCACCTTGCTGTCAGTTACGGGCCTGGTGGAAGACTCCGGACAGTGGTTGACAATGAATGAGGCTGGTGCTATTGGAGGAGGCTGGGCTGCATGGAGGTGGCGGTGATGCAGGTGAGGTAACACTAACCTGGGAGACTAACCATGAGGACATCACCTGCCTCCTCCCACCTTCTCCCTCCCTGGCCTCTGTGCTGTGGCCAAGCTCTCCAGGGAAAGCACCCATCTGATTTCTAGGGACTCCTTGCTGCTCAGGGGATCATGTGTGGTGGACACCCTGCTGACTGAACTGATGGACTGACTGACTTTGTAAACACCCTGCCAAATGCCCACAGAATGCTCTAGACACTCATGTCTGCTAGATGGTACTTCTGCTCCCAAAGGCTGGGGGTTGAGTCGTGTACTTAACAAGAATCAGCTGTGTTTGCTCTCAAACTTGTGAATGCCAGTTGTACATTTTATTGTGATCATAAACTTATTTAAACAAAATGAAAATTGATGAGATTATTGTGCAAGAACTTTGTGAAAACTAAGATGAATACTTGGAAAAGACTAGATGAAGGGTCATGTTGAATTGAGGATAGATGAGACAACTGTTAAAACTTGGGGGAAATTATAAAAAGAAAAAACTAGAAGTCTAGTGCTCTCTCATTGCTTTGCAAATATCTTTAAGTTCTAGCTCTACTTTAAAAAAAGCAGAAACTGAAAACGATAAATTATGCATTTATGGCAGACTGTGCTGAACTTGCCTCTTACGCGAAGAAAAAGCCTTGGCCCTACATCAAAAGATTGGGGATGAATGTACATTCTACTCTTGCAAATTGAAGTAAAATGTTTACAGGATGTATATATCATGTTTTAATGGCCCCTTGCTTTAAAATCTGTATTTTTAAATTAACCCAACAAGCACTGGTGTTGATCCAGCTGGGTGAGAGGGTTTCTGCCGTTCAGCCTCCTGTTTGGGGCCCTCCAAGCAGCCCCATTCTGGCCTCATTCACTGCACACATCTCCCACTTTCCCTTCCACTCATTTAGCCCCTCACTGAAGATTGACTGGGAATCAGCACCAGCTCTGACTTCTCGTGCTGCCTCTACCTGGAGCGGGGGGAAGCAGGAGAGTATGACAGTGTTCCTGGTCCCTCCTCCTGCGTGGGAGCTGCTTGTCTATGGTGTTGTGGAGTCTTTCCCCACCCGACATCCCACCACACTTTCAGTGCTTTGGATAGAATTGGGCCCCACCCCAAATTCACATGTTGAAGCCCTATCCCCCAGTGAGATGGTATTTGGAGGTGGGGGGCCTTTGGGAGGTAATTAGGGTTGGTGAGGTCATGAGGCTGTGGCCCTTCTGATAGAATTAGTGGCTTCACAGGAGGAGGAGGGGAATGGAGGTTGCTCTCTCTCCACCCTTGAGGACGCAGAGAAAGTGCCAGCCTGCCTGCCAGGAAGAAGACCCTCCTGTGCCTGGAACTGAATTGGCAGTGACCGTAACCTTGGCCTTCCAGCGTCCAGGACTGTGAGAAGTAAATGTCTGTTTCTTGAGCTGCCTAGTCTCTGGTATTTTGTCACGGCAGCCAGGGCAGGCTAACACTCTGAGACCACTAACACCACAGCAGGTCCTGGGAAGTTATGTAGAAGATGGCAATGATCCTGTTGCCACCATTGAGGAAGATGCTGTCCATGATGCCACACCCTCAAACCCCTGAGGATCCCCCTTCCTTCCCAGTCTCAGACTCCAACACACCGTCAACACTCACCATCTCATGAGACCACAGACCCACTGGGAGATCTGCACATGTACAATCAGGGAGTTGATATGTCTCACCTGAGGTCACACTGTTTTTAAAGACAGACCTGTGACTATAACCAAAGTCCATGACACATTCTGATAAGCTGAGTGGTCTCCCAAATGAAACTTGAAATTCATGACTCTCTGCCGTGAAATGCATGATGAATGATGTTTCTATGCATGATACCCTCTGACTCTGATAGCATATAAAGCATTTAACTATTTGACCTCCCAGAACAGAGATTTCTAGTTGTATACCCTAATCCTCTCCTGCCTTCCTCCTTAGTTACAGAACTCCCAGCCTCTCCTGCAGGGAGATGTGGCCATATGACTAAGTTCTGGCCACCAAGACATGAGCAGAAGTGTTCAGGACATCTTGGAAAAGTCTGTAAAGGGGGTTGATCTGACTAGAACGTGCACCCTCTCTGTCGGGGACCCCTGATTTGCACGCCCCTGTTTCTTCCCGCTGCCTGGAGTGTGGATGGAAGCAGGAGGCCCCAGAAGCTGTCTGGACCATATGGCACTGTGAACCTGGAAGCTAGAGCTGAGAGGAGGCAGAAGCATACAGAACAGGCCTGGGCTCATGACCATGGAGCCGCTGCACCGAGAAAGTGGGAACGTTCAGGTGGGGGGCAGGGGTCATCCCTCATGCAGGTGCATGACCTAGATCTTAGCCCCGTGATGAGAGGAGTGGCAGGGAACACTTAAGGGATCATTTCTATAGTTGCCTTGGTGATGGGACCTCAAGAAGCCTGGTGTGGGGCCTGGGGAACTGGAGTGAGGTATTATTCACTCACCTTAGTTCTCTTTAGAAGCTAGGCTCCAGTTTGGGGAGAAGGTGGTGCCCCAGGCTCTCCCAGCTTTGGAAGCCCAGGCCCAGACCCCCCACCCTCTCAGGGGTTGCACGGAGTTCCCAAGGAAGGAACAGTGAGATGGTCCAGCCTCACACAGCCTGGTGGGCAGTAACAATAGCCACAAAGCTCAAGACAAAGATGCTGTGAGGTAGCCCTTGACTGCATGTGATGGCCAGACAACACAGGGACTTCTGAGAGTGTCCTGAGCTGAGCAGTCAGGACATCAAACTGGTGAGATTTGAGTTGTGGCCTCGCTGTACTCACAGGCTGTGGGGCTTAGGGACAGATGACTCATGATGATGGCAGAGTGGCCTGGATCCCTCAGCCAGGAAAGGCTGCCTTTTATTTCACCTTCAGCCTGGCTCACCTGTCATTGCCGAATCCATCCCCTCCACAGGAGTCTTCCTTCACTTCAAGGACGCAGTCTCCTAGAGAGCGAGGATCAGAGGTCTTTTCAGGCTGGAAGGAGACCGAGCAGATATGGGAAGAGGAACCCAGGATCACACTGTGATGGGGAGCAAGTTTAACTCCAGTTACATGGAGTTTCTGTGTTAGAACAAGACCCTGGCTGGCTGAATCCATGAGATAACAAGAACATTTTCCCCTGAGCTTTCACTCAACTCTCAAAATCATTTGTGATGTTTTCCAGGTGAATTGCTTTCTGCATTCAGTCAATTTATTTTAGTTTGTGGTTGTGTTTGATAGGCTGGTGTGCTGGAAAAATCACTCCAGACATCCAGAATCCAATCAAAACAGACGTGCAGAGAAACACGTGTTTAGGGCTGAAATGAAACTGGAAAATCAGCCAACCCCACTCCTCATTTTATAAATCAGTGGAAGTGATTCCTGGAGCTCACACAGCTAATGAAGGTGAACTCCAGAGCAGACCTTAGTTAACCCTAACTCATACACAGCGCTTCAAACACTTTGCTTCTTGGGTTTTTTTGGGGGTGGGGTTTTGTTTTTTGTTTGACTATGCCTCGAGGCATAGGGGATCTTAGCTCCCCAACCAGGCCAGGGATCAAACCAGTGCTCCCTGCAGTGGAAGTGTGGAGTCCTAGCTACTGGGCTGCCAGGGAAGTCCCCTCCAGATATACTATGTAAGAGTACCTCAGGTTCTTCGTGTGTGTGTGTGTGTGTGTGTGTGTGTGTGTGTGTGTGTTCATTTTTCTTGGAAAGAATTTACAGAGTGTTTCCTGAGGCATTTGGAGTCAAGTTGGACAGAACTACAAATGTCGAAGCAGCTTTCCCTACACAAGATCAAGGTCACTCATGAAGTCTGTTGCTTGACCCTCTTTCACATCATAGGAGTTAGGTATTTGGATTGTGTTGAACTCAGTATCCTTCCTCTCCCCCCCTCCCCTTCTCCAGCTTCCTCCTCCTCCTCCACCCCCCTCTCTCCTTCTCCCTGATCCTTCCTGCATCACAGTCTGATTTTCTCCATTCCTGGCTCTTGTGCTGATCAGCATATTTCCCTCATTTGCTTCTTCCTTCCTCTCTTCCCACCCACTCTGTGCTTTTAGTTTCCAAATTGTGGGCCTATCTAAATTAATGAACTCATTTGTTTTCTGTATACCAAATGCACAGCAAAATGATTGTACTTCTAAACAGGCCGACAGTACCATGTAGACGCATTCTGAGCCTCCCTGGAGCTATGAAAGCACCATGTTAAGCTCATGAGAACAACATGGGGAAATGAGGGAGCCCCTGACAAGACAGAAGGCTTTCTTGATCAATGCTTGCCTGGTCCCTCTGTTTCCCATGTTGAGTGTGTCTCTACGAAGACGTCAGTGACAAGGATCCATTGTGTGATCAGTATTCCAAGAGGCTGCAGATACAAAATCCTAGACACATTATTTTGTGGGCAGAGCAGGTGTTCTGCCTTGAGCTGTAACATAACCAGTGAGCAATAGTTCATGAAATGACCTTTTTTTCAGTTTATTAAAGGGCAAGCATTTCCTGAAAATTCTTATATTTCACTGAGCTCTAAATCAAGACTGCATCTACCAGGGTCTTTTCACCATCTCTTGCTCTGACATTGACTTTCATGGACCCAGGCACTAAACCCATTATTCCTTCCTTTCACTCAGGAAGCCCTGTGTCAAAAGTATTTCCTAATGGGGACCGTGTGCTGTGGGCTGCAGTTTCAGCCTCTGTCTCTCTGATGTGGCAGGGGGTCAAGCAGGGTGCTGAGTCTCTCTGTGTTCCAAGGCCACAGACAACAACCTTTTTGCTGATGAGAGAGAGGGACAGTCAAGTGATTCTGGAAGATCAGCTCCAACTACCCCCGGACGAACCAATAAGCCCCCTGGCCCTGGTCAGTAGGAGGATCTTAGGATGTGCTTTTATTCCTGAGTTGACTTGGTTCTCTGGGTCATGCCTTGACCCCTTCAGGGTGCAGTTTATAACCAGTGCCAATCTGCCTGGAGCTATGAGCAAGCCCAGGTGAACTGTATGTGCCAGGACCAACCTCAGCACTGGCCTTGCCCTCTGCCACCTTGTTTTGCTCTTCTCCTCTGCACGTGGCAGGAACACCTCCTTCTAGCACTGGGTGAGCAGGCATGCTCTGGGGGTCTGTCAGGACTTCATGGGGCACTCTAGGGTGGCTCCAGGAGGCAGGAGTGAAAATATCCCAGGGGCTGCTCTGCCCAAAGCTCCCTGGAAAAGTAAATTGGTAAACAGTAAGCATAAGATGGGAGGTCACCTGTCTTCTCTTAACTCGTGCTAGGTCCACTTAATCAAATTCAGTTCTGGTCCTGTAGTTTCATAAGAAACAATTCCAGGAAAATTGGCCCTGGAGGTTCCAGTGCAGAAACACCTCCTATAGAATTTCGTATCATATTGGGGCACAAGCGACTCAGTATGTACTAAGAACCTGCACAACAAATCCAAAACAGTTCTGGTACCTTCTTTAAGAAACAGCAGCTAGGGAGACAAGAGAGCCTGCTGAAACAGGTAGAGTCCCTCTGAGCAGTAACTTGAGTTAGTCTTATCACCACAGCCCACTCAGGCCAGACCTTTCCCATCTCACAGCTCCCTAGTCCTGAATCTTTCCTGTAAAACATCATAACATGTTTCTGTACCAAATTCACTGCCACCAGTCTATCAGAGTTCTCTAAATTTAAATGTATCTAATTTTGATACACTTTGTGAAAGTAAACTGATTTAAGGTATACACTGAATTTGGTACCCTTCCCCCCAGTTCTTATGTTGAAGCCCTAAACCCTAGTGTGACTGTATTAAAACATAAGTCTTTTAAAGGAATAATTGTGGTGCTGGAGAAGAGTCTTGAGAGTCCCTTGGACTTCAAAGAAATCAAACCAGTAAATCCTAAAGGAAATCAACCCTGAATATTCATTGGAAGGACAGATGCTGAAGCTGAAACTCCAATACTCTGTCCACCTGATGTGGAGAGCTGACTCATTGGAAAAGACCCTGATGTTGGGAAAGACTGAGGGCAAGAAGAGAAGGGGGTGGCAGAAGATGAGATGGTTAGATAGCATCACTGACTCAATGGACATGAATCTGAGCAAACTCGGGGAGATGGTGGAGGACAGAGGGGCCTGGCGTGCTGCAGTCCATGAGGCCATAAAGAGTCAGAAACGACTTAGCGACTGAACAACAGCAAAGGTTAAATGAGGTTCTAAGAGTAGGACCCTGATCCAATAGGAACAGTGTTCTTATAAGGAGAGACACCAGAGTGTTCACATTTTCTCTCTCTCTCTTCCTTTCTCTCCAGGCCATAAAGTGAAAGTGAAAGTCACTCAGTCATGTCCGACTCTTTATGACCCATGGACTCTACAGTCCATGGAATTCTTTAGGCCAGAATACTGGACTGGAGCCTTTCCCTTCCCCAGGGGATCTTCCAAACCCAAGGATCGAACCCAGGTCTCCTGCATTGCAGGCAGATTCTTTACCAGCTGAGCCACCAGGGAAGCCCAAGAATATTGGAGTGGGGAGCTTATCCCTTCTCCAGCAGATCTTCCCGACTGGGAAATCGAACCGGTATCTCGTGCATTGCAGGTGGATTCTTTATCAACTGAGCTATCAGGGAAGCCCCTGGGCCATAAAAAGACTCAGCAAAAGTTGTCCATAAAAGGAGCCCATCTGCAAACCAGGAAAAGCCCCCTAAGCAGCATCTGACCATGCTGGGACCCTGATCTCAGACTTCCAGTCTCCAGGATAGCACACACGTGACAAACAAAATTCTGTGGCTGAAACTGCCCAGTCTATGGTAGGTAGTTCATCATGTCAGCCTAATCTGACTCACACCCTAGACCTCAGAGGATTCACGACCCGATGGAGGCTTCAACTGAGGCCCCACACTGGGACTGAACTGGTGGCCAGGTGGACGGTCCTTACCGATGAAAGCCCCATCCCTGCTCCACAGGCACATGGTGCGGTCCAGGGAGGATGAGAGCAGAACCTCTTCTTCTATCAGCTCCAAACTAGTGAGATCAAAGGGCAAGGGAGATGTGCTGAGGCTTCCCCAGCAAGAAAGGGACATTGGCTCAATGCATCAGTACCCCTTTAAATACAGCTGGAATATAGAAGCCAGGTTCCTCCCCTGGATTATTCTCGGTACCATCCCCTCCTTGCCTCCTACCATGCCACACCCCCTTCAGATTCCCCAACTCCAGTCCCAAGATGGCAGACAATATACTAGAAACATCTTATGGACTGTGGGAACTGATGGGTTTATGGGAACATCAAGAGGTTGGAAAGAAACTTCTGACCAGGGTCCAGGCCCCATACCAGCACTGACTCCTTTTAACTCCAGTGAAAAAAATCTTAAACATATTAAGCATCTACACTTACACTAAAATACCAGATCAATTCAAGGAAAACAATCATCATTTATAAGAAAAATGACTTCAGATCTCTTCCTATTTACTCTGTGTACGGAACATAAACATCCAGTTCTCACAGCAGCAGCAGAATTATAACACTGCTCTTGTCTTCTGATTAATTCAGAAGCCTTCTGAGAGAATCCATTTACTCAAAGCTGTGAAAAGTATTTTGACTCTTTTATACATTCTTAAACTCTAAAGTGGATGGTACTCACGATGTCACCATGCTGACATGGGCCCTCCAGAATGTCACATCTAAATCAGAGGAAAGAGCACATCTGAGTGCGGTGGGAGACGTACACCCTGATGCTAGATACTGTGTAACCATCACTCCAGGGTGGGGTCGGGGCTGGATGAGAGCCCAGCAGGGAGAGAGGTACTGGTGTGACAAGGCGTTGGTCTTGCTACATTAACCTGATACAAGTTTACCAGGCATCTACTATGTGCAAGACCCTATGCCAGCTCCAAAGATATACAAAATGGGGCCTGTTCAAGGTCCTCACCCTATAGTCTCCTTTAGCACTTAGGGTTTGGTAAGCATACAGGAGTGGGAAAGTAATCAAAAGTAATTTTTAATACAGCCTGGTGAAAGCTACATTCCCAGTACTCGGAGTAAAGACCAATGCAAAGCCGATCACTCTTAACTTCTAAATTCCAATTTCTCACACTTTAGCTTTTAAACTTCCCCTGTGGTGGAACAGGAAAAAGTGAATAAGGGGAGGTAGGTGAATATTTGCCTCTAAATTGGCTTTATAGAAATATATTTAATGAAATATTATATAGCCATTCAAATATGCTTAAAAAAAAAACCATAGATAATATGCTTATATGTAAAGCTGGCTAAGATACAAAGGAAAAAATGAGTCCTGAAAGTGAGGTATTGTGGGTGTGTGTGTATGTGCTCCTGTATATATATATATATATATATATGCATAGAAACTTTCTGGGAGGAAATTGAAATGCATTAACAGTGTTGCTAGGATGCAGAAAAGTCAGGCTGGGTGAGGGAGGAGGTCAGAGGAAAACTACTGCTTTTCGTTTTATATTCTATCATGTTGCTTGATTTTTTTCCTAAACATGAGCATTTCTACAACTGTATGAAAGGCTTTTAACACTTTAAACATATTCTGTTATTACCAAAGCATTATATCTCCAGAAAAACTAGAAAAGACAGATTTTTAAAAAGAAGAAAAGAAAAGCATAACTAAAACCTCAATGTGGGCTTCCCTTGTGGTTCAGCTGGTAAAGAATCCACCTGCAGTGTGGGAGACCTGGGTACAATCTCTGGGTTGGGAAGATTCCCTGGAGAAGGGAAAGGCTACCCACTCCAGTATTCCTGCCTGGAGAATTCTGTGGACTGTAGAGTCCATGGGGTCACAGAGAGTCAGACACGACTGAGTAATTTTCACTTTTCAAAACCTCACGTACAAAGGATAAGGATTTGTTACATCCTTGATGTATATTTTTCCAGACTTTCAATCTTCCATGTATGTCTTCATTTAACAAGGGTTACATTATTGTTTTGTGACCTAATTTTTCACTGAAAAATTTTATCATGAACAATCTCCCTATAAATACATTTTCATATATGGCATCCTTACACGATAACTCAATGATATTTTAACATGTTATATTTTATACCATCCCATATTTAATTATTCCCCTTACACTGGACAGTTTGTTTTCTCTATTATTTTCTTCTGCCTCTCTTATAAACAATATGCTGATTCACACAGCCTTATAACTAAGTCTTTGTTTATGCTTCTTACTCTTTTTTTTGGCCAAATCCTTAGAAGTAGAATTGCTGGTTCAATGTTTTAATGCACATTGTCAACTTGCCCTTCATGCCCTTCAGACAGTATACACCAACTCACCCTCCATCCAAGAGCATGAGTGCCATTTTCCTCTCACCTTGTCAATATTGAGTACTTTCATGAAAATATTTTTCTCTAGAAAAATATTAAATTTTATTTAATCTAATATTTAACTAAAACTGAAGCTATGCTCATCATAGCGTCTCACGTGGAGAGCTCATGCCTACTCGTGGGAGGCTGCAGTTCCTGTCCCTGCAGGCCGTACTCCTCGATGTCATAGACGTGCACAAAGCCGCGCTGGTCAGCCACGTAGGCACAGGCATCTCCCGCTGTCACCACCATGCTGCTGACCCGGGCTTTGTCCCTGGACTGAAGACACGTACACACAGGGATCATTATACACACACACACACACACACACACACACACACACACACAGGGTCCATCACAGACAGACGCACAGACACACATAGGGTCCATCACACATACACAGAGTCTGTCACACATACACACACACACACACACAGGGTCCATCACAGACAGACACACAGACACACAGGGTCCATCACAGACAGACAGACAGACACACAGGGTCCATCACATACATACAGATACACAGACACACACAGGGTCTATCACAGAGAGACACACACAGGGTCTATCACAGAGAGACACACACACAGGGTCCATCACACACATACGGACACACAGACACATACACAAGGTCCAATACAGACAGACACACACACACAGGGTCCATCACAGACACACAGACACACACACAGGGTCCATCACAGACAGACACAGACACACAGTGCCCATCAGCGGTAAAGCTTACCTGTCAGACAATAGCAAGTGAAACGCATTGTCCTTAATGAGAGAGACACTAGTTTTTTGACACAGGTGAGTGTCAAAAAACAAACCAACCCAAACATGAGATATGGGACTTATTTCCAACCCGCTACCCAACTTACAGGAGCAAAGTTGGCAATGGGACGGGCTTCACTGAACAGCCTCCAGAAGGTGACAGAACCTGGGAGGAGGGAAGCAGAAGGGAGGGCACTTGGGTGTTGGTGCTTTGCAGTTCTGGAGCTCCCAGGTGGAGTCTGGGAGTCTCTGTTGAGAGGCACTGCAGTCTCAGGACTCTAGGGTGGCACCTGGGTTGCTTGGCTTAATCTGACCAGCTATGGAGGGGAGGTATGAAAGTTTGTGCTATGGCGACAATTAATGTGTGTGCATATGTGTGCACACAGGCACTTGTGTGTATAGGTATGTCTTTCAAACACACTGTGAGACTTGCTTGGTCGAAGGAATTCTCTGGGACCTCTTCTGGCCTGTCAGTCACAATTCTTGAGTGCTTTGCCGGTGGGTGTTCACAGCAAGCCTGTGAAGTGGCAACCCCATGCATACCTCTTCGCCTCAGGAGCTCCCTAAATCACAGACTGTGGGATCCTCCTCTTCTCTCAGGGGAGGGGGTCCTGTACTGCTGACAGGTAAAGCAGAAGTGAGGGATGCCCAGGGTGGAGGGCGCCTGGTGCCAACAGGCCAGAAGCTTCGGGGCTGGGCCAAGGTCGGGCGTCAGGAGGAGGCGGTCCCCTGAAGAGTAGCAGCAGAGCGGGGAGGCAGTCTCCTTCTCTAGTGAGGAGACTACAAACAACCTCATGCCCTGGGACTTGGGCTCTTGCAATCAGAATAACACAGGTGGCTGCTTCTAACTCACTGTTTAAAATAAAATTCCTGTGCTTTGGAGCAGGACACTGGCCCACTCCTTACAGTTTACTGAAGCCAGAGGTCCTGTCATCTATGTGACATCGCCAAGCTAGTTAGTGGTGGAGGCGGCCTCAGGAAACGTCCTCTACCCCAGGAGGCCCCAGCCTCTGGGATCTAATGCCTGATGATCTGAGATGGAGCTGATGTAACAATAATAGAAATAAACTGCCCAATAAATCATCCCGAAACCATCTCCTACCTTCCGGTCTGTGGAAAAATTGTCTTCCATAAAACCAGTCCCTGGTGCCAAAACTGGATGGGTATGACTGCACCCCTGCAGGCTGACCCCCGTTACACGACTCTCAGCTCTTCTGTCAGGCCTCCCATGGGTGCTGTGGCAGTTTGCCCCTCCCTGGCTAAATAAACATTTGATGTTTATTTAACCTCACTACATGACATCCTGTGAGCCCTATGTCCCTGCAGGAATCACCAGGGGCCTCTGGGGAGGCAGCAGGCAGGGAGACTCAACTGGGAGGAAGCTGCCCTTCCCCAGCTGGCAGGCTGGGCTGAGTCAGCCAGGGAGTGTCTGGGGAGTCCCGAGTGCCTGGGGGTCCTTCCTGTTGGAACCCGGGCCTGCGGTGGCCGCTTCTTAGACACGAGCCAACGGCCAGTGTGGGCTCCATCCTCACCTTGACGCCCGTTGGCCATCAGGGAAACGGAGGCTGATTCCAAGTTGGCTGCCCGTGTCTTGAGGAAGGCGAGGCAGGAGACACTTCTGTCTGGGCCTGGAGACAAGGAGAGGGTTTTGGTTGTGCTCCCCACGCAGCTCCCAGCTCTCCTCTTGTCCTCTCAGACCAGAGTCTCAGAGCTGCCCCTGGACCTGGGTGGAAGCGGTCGAGGCGTACACAGGAGCACAGGTGGCCTCGCTGGTTGAGGAGCAGTCCAGCCTGGCTGGGGGGTAAAGTCAGATGTGAAGGTAATCCAGGGCACCCCTGCATTGTCCCAGGACCCTAGGGCTTTTGCAGAGAGTCAGGGGTGGGGAACTTGGTTGGGGCTTGAGGGAGGGGCTGAGAGAGATGGTAGGGCAGTCGGGGGCTTTGCCTGGAACTCTATGGGTATGTCCCAGGAGGTCCCCACTCTCTAGAATTCCTGGATGGGAATTAGCTGCTGTTCAGTCACTCAGTCATGTCCGACTCTTTGAGAGCCCCATGGACTGCATCACACCAGGCTCCTCTGTCCTCCACTGTCTCCCAGGGTGTTGGAATGCCTTCTACAGCCACCTCCCTGCTTCCTCACCATCCACTCCTCCTGTTGGACTTGAAGCTCCATCAACAGGGCTTACATTGGTCTTTCCCCCACTTATCTCCAATCTCTCCAAGAGCTTAGCACATAGAACTCAAAGTGTGCTCTTGCATAAAAATCCTGCAGACCTACTTAGATGCAAACCTTCAGGAGCCACAAAGGACATAGCTGTTTGGGTGTGAGGAGATGGGAAAGGAGCTTCTTCATCTCGCCCTCCTTGAGTCTGTGGGCTCCGGGGTGACTTGCCTCGACTGGAGGTGAAAGGAAAGTTCTCATGTTAACAATGGGGTAGGTGCTGGAGTGAGATAAAGAGGTGCTGCTCCCTTGTGTCAGCGCTATGGGGACACCCACGACCCAGGCTAGTCATTGGTTCAACAGCGTTTGTTTGGGCCTGACTCTGAGCTCGGCGTTGTGTTGTGCACTTGGGAAGCCACAGCGGACGTGGCAGACTCAGGCCCCGCCCTCAGGTGGACCACGATCACAAGTTGGATTACCCACCTAGAGCACATTCTGTGCCAGACCTGGAGCTAAGCCCGTCTCAACACCACCGTATTCAGCGATCACAACAATCTTAGACTTTATCTCTTGATTTTATCAAGCAGTGAGAGTAGAGTTTAGAAAGAACCACATTGCCTGAGGTCATACAGCTGAGGGGCTGACAGTCAAACCCAGGTGTGTTTGTATCCAAAGCCCATGCCCTTGCTATCAGGCTCTGTGCTTGTCCTCAGGGGGCTGAGGGCTGTCCTTGAGGGACTGAGGGGGTCCCGGGGGGCGAAGGTTCTCAGAGGCAGATGGAGGGCCACCTGCACGGCGTCCTCCCTGGTGCCTGGGACACACAGGCAGTGACTGGGCTAAGGGTCACCTTGCTCTCCGGTTATCCGGCTCTTGGGGAATTGACATACGGGGTGGCGGGGGGTGGGGTGGGGGGAGATGATGAGTAGGGGGAGGGGCAGCAAGGATAAGCCCCCCAACTTCCTCACTTTGTCTTGGGTGGGGGGCTGCAGAGTCCTGGGAAATGGGCGCATGTACTGCCTCCCCACTTACCCATGTGTGGTCTTGGGGAGCATTGCACTTCCCTAAACCTGTTTTCTTCACCTGTGATAGGGAGACAATACTTCCTGTTTCACAGAGTTTCAGTGAAGATTAAATTAGAGACTCTATGGGAATCATGCTCCATGGCTTTGCAGTGGAGGCTGATTGGAGATACTGAACCTAAGGTACTCAGAGCACAGGGACCCTCAGCAAATGGTAACCGTTATAATGGCTGTTAGTTAAGTCTCTAGCCTCAGTTTCCTCATCTGTGAAAATGGGTCCAAGAGCACCTATCTCTCTGGGTCAATGTGAGCACTAAGTGAGATAAAACATTAAAAGCACTCAGGAAAATTACATATAAAAATCAAATATGTTGTTTATATAATCATTAACATATTGTTATTATGTTCATTATAATTCTATTATTAAACACTATTTAAATATTATTTTATTAAAAATTATATTAAGTGTTGTTTTGTTATAATAAATATTATTACTTACAAATGAAGTAAATATTATTAGTTTCCCTAAGTAAAAAACCTTAGTCTCTTAGAACCAATAAATGAATTCCTCAAAGAAGCAAGATACAAAGTCAACACACAAAAAAATCAGTTGCATTTGTATACATGACCAAGGAATAATCTGAAAAGTAAATAAAGAAAAAAATTCTATTTTCAATAGCATTAAGAGTAACACACTTAGGAATTTACCTAGGAGGTGAAATATTGTATAATGAAAACTACAAGACACTGTTGAAAGAAATTAAGACATAAATAAATGGAGACACATCCCGTGTTCATAAATTGGAGGAAAATATTGTTAAAATGAGAGTACTACACCAAATGATCTACAGATTCAGCGCAATTTCTATCAAAATCCCAAAGACATTTTTGGCAGAAATAGAAAAACTCATTTTAAAATTCACATGGAATTTCAAGAGACCTCCAAATAGCCAAAACAATCTTGAAAAAGAAGAATAAAACTGGGGGGACTCATAATTCCTGATTTCAAAACTGACTGTACAAAAAGTACAGTCATCAAAGCAGTGTGGTACTGGTATAAAAACAGATGGGTAGAAAAATGGAATGGAATAGAGAGCCCAAAAATAAACCCCATGTTTTTGGTCAAATGATTTTTGACAAGGGTGTCAAGACCCTTTTCAGTGGGGAAAGGACAATCTTTCTGCTAATGGTGTCAAGAAAACTGGATACCCACCTGCAAAATAGTAAGTCTGGACCCTTATCTAATGCCATGTATGAAAATTAACTCAAAATGGATGAAGAACCATAAATGGAAGACCTACAATGAGATAATCCTTAGAAGAAAATATAGGAGAAAAGCCTCATGACATTGGATATGGAAATGATTTTTTGGATATGACACCAAAAAAAAAAAAAGGTAACAAAAGAAAAATATAGACAGATTGGACTTCACAAAAACTGATCTTTTTGTGCACCAAAAGACACCATCTGTAAAGTAAAAAGACAGCCTACAGAATGGGAGAGAATCCCTGCAGATCATTTATCTGGTAATGAACTAATATCCAGAGTATATAGAAGACTTCTAAGAAGCAACAACGAGAAAATCAGATTCAAAAATGGGTAAGGGGGGAGGGTTTCCCTGGTGGTCTGGTGATTAAGAATTTGCCTTGCAATGCAGGGGACGTGGGTTCAAGCCCAGGTTGGGGAACTAGGATCCCACATGCCTTGGAGCAACTAAGCCTGCACACGCCGTAACTACTGAAGTCTGTGCACTCTGGAGCCCGTGTGCCATGACTAGAGAGTCTGTGTGCCACAGTGAAAGATCATGCATGATGAAGCTAAGACCCAATGCAGCCAAATAAAAAAATTAAATCTATTTTTTTAAAAAGGGAAAAAAACTTGAACAGACATTTTTCCAAAAAAGATATAAAATAGCCATAAGCAGATGAAAGGACGAGACCACAATGAGATACCACCTCACATCTATTAGGATGACTGTTACCGAAGAAACAGAAAATAACAAGTGTTGGTCAGGATGTGGAGAAATTAGAGCCCTGTACACTGTTGGTGGGAATGTGGAATGGCAGGGCCAATGTGGGAAAACAGTACGGTGGTTCCTCAGAATATAAAAAATAGAATTACCATGTGATCCAGCTGTTCAGTTTAAGTTTTCTGCCTGCAATGTGGGAGACCTGGGTTCGATCCCTGGGCGGGAAGATCCCCTGGAGAAGGGAACAGCTGGATACCCACTCCAGTATTCTGGTCTGGAGAATTCCATGGACTGTATAGTTTATGGGGTTGCAAGGAGTCAGACACGACTGAGCATCTTTCACTTTCGCTTCACTTTTTTTCCCCCGCAATTCTACTTATGGGAATATACCCCCCAAAACTGAAAGCAAGATCTTGAAGAGATACTTGTACAACAATATTCACAGCAATGTTATTCACAATAGCTAAAATGCAGAAGCAACCCAACTATCCATCAATGGATGAATGGACAAGCAAACTGTGGCATATACAAATGGTGGAATATTATTTAGTCTTTAAAAGCAAGGAAACAGCAATATGCTACAACATGGGTGAACTTTGAGGACATTATGCTAACAGAAATAAGCCAGTCACAAAAAGACAAATACTGTATGATTCTATTTCCATGAGTAATCAAAATCATAAAGACAGAAAGTATAACGGTAGCTGCCAGGGGTTGAAGAGAAGGGAGAAGAGAAGGGTTGAAGAGAAGAGAAACCTTCAGTTTCAAGAAAATTTATGGGGAAGGATGGAGAGTATCATTGCACAACAATATGAATGTATTTAAAACCACTGAAATGTACACTTAAAAATAGTAAAGATGGTATATATTGTATTATATATATTCTGCATGTGTGCTTGGTCACTTCAGTTGTGTCCAACTCTTTGCAACCCCATGGACTGTAGCCTGCCAGGCTCATCTATCCATGGGATTCTCCAGGCAAGAACACTGGAGTGGGTTGCCATGCCCTCCTCCAGGGGATCTTCCTGACCCAGGGATCAAACCCATGTCTCTTACATCTCCCACATTGGCAGGTGGGTTCTTTACCACTAACACCACATGGGAAGCCCATGTGTATTCTACCACAAAATGAAAAAAAGAAGAAGAAAAAGCCTTCCAGAGAGCTCACAAATTTCCTGGATTTTAGCCTGGTTGAAATCTCTTGGTCTCTCTCTTTCACTCGCAAATTCTTTCTCTTTGATGTGGGAGAACACATAACAATTCTCAATATGCATAAGGGAGAAGGAAGCTAAAATGTAGAAAAGTTGGCAGAAAGAATGTGTTTTCAGCTCATCAGCTTTGCTCACACAATTGCCTTTCTCTCTTAGCTCCCCTTTCCACTGAGAATGACTTCAGAAAAATTGTCCAGATGGTTTTCCAAATAAGACGGCAGTCTCTTAACCAATCCCATGTGAAAAGGACCACCCTGCTTTGTTTCGACCTTCAGGCTGAGCCAGAGCCGCTGTTTTCTGGAAGGCCGCAGGAACTTTCACATCTTTCCACCTAATTTGTGCATTTTTTTTTCACCGTTGAAACGTGAATAATCAGGAACTAGGGCTGGCTTTTGCATTTTTGGAGAGAAGAGGAGTTTTTCAAAAACCAATGGCTACATAACTTGAAGCAATAAATGCTGCTGCAAAGAGGGTTTTAAATTAGAACTGCTGGCTGAAAGGTCAACACTGCATTCTTGGCCAGTGACTTAATTCTCAATTTAATGCAATGAAAATAAACCTTTAGGAGGAAATGCCACCACTTTTTCCCCAAAGATTTTTTAAACTCTTAGGCATTCTCAGAAACAGCTTCACAGAAGGGTCTTTTTTATATGCAGCAAAGGGGCTAGAAATAGACAGGATCATAAATCTACAGGTAAGAATTTCTTTTTAATCTCATGGCATCCAAAGGTTTCAGTTTCTAACCACTGCCCTCCGGAGCGTCTCTCAAGCACAGCAGGCAGACTGCATTGCTTTATCCTCATTTTACCTGTTGAGCATCACATCTTGTGCCTGAATTTAGACTGTGAGTCCGTTGGTGTGTATAGCACCAGGTCTCACATCTCTCTCTAGCCTCTGGTACACGTCTCCCATGGGCTCCCATGTGAGCCGTGGGAGCGGCTCACACATATTTTCTGATCCAAGGAGTCACTGGAGATTGTCCTTGGCTACTAGGTCATGACATGTCTGAAGCAGGGATCATAGTGTGAGGCTCATGGCTCTCTAAGGGTGGGCTGGTTTGGCTTCTGGAGATGCAGGAACTCCCCAGTTTTATGCAAAAATGCCCAGCACTTCTGTCTGTGTCTCCCCTGCTGGGGCCCAGGGGTGTGAGGAGTGGGACCTCTGGCTGTTGGCTGATGAGCATCTGCAGATGGCCACTTGGGAAGGATGAAGCTGGACTCTGGACATGGGGAGAGAGCAGTGGTAAGAAGCTGCCTGTGTGGTTCTGGGTTCCTGCCACTTTTATGGTCCAGCACCACCAGCAATGGAACTGATAGATAAGTGGACCTCCCCACATGTGTTTTCCACATGACTCAGAACTCCTGGGGAGAGAGGGATGCGATTACCAGCCCAAGACCTAGCACTGGGCCTGGCACATAGCAGGAACTTGTCTGTATTCTTTGAATGAATAAGTGAGTGAACGGACCCATGATCACATTAGCAGACAACAGAGAGAGAGCCTTGAAGAACGAGGACCAGTGCAGAAGAATTGGGAAGAGTGCAGTGGGATGGTGGGGAGTTTTGTAGCATAAAAGTAATGGGGCTTTCCAGGTGGCGCTAGTGGTAAAGAACCCACCTGCCAATGCAGGAGACGTAAGAGGTGCTGGTTCGATCCCTGGGTTGGGAAGATCCTCTGGAGGAGGGCATGGCAACCCACTCCAGTATTCTTGCCTGGAGAATCCCATGGACAGAGGTGATTCATGGGCTACCGTCCATGGGGTTGCAAAGAGTCGGACATGACTGAGGCACATAATTGACTTACAATGTTATGTCAGTTTTGGGTGTGTGTGAGACGGGCTCTGATGGACAGGTGCCTGGGGACGTGTACTGAGCTAGCTGAACTCTCATGCTACCCCCACCCCTCCTGCCCTCCCCAGCTCTGAAAATCTCCATCTCACAAGTTAAGACCTGAAACCAGGCCACTCCCTTATAACTGGGAAGCATTCCAGAGATGAGCTCCCTTTAGACAACTTGCCAGGAGCCTGAGCCTGCCGGGCCCATGCAGAGTGGCCATGGAGACCACCCCTACCTTCTCCATTTTCTGTGCCATCAGAGGGGCTGGGGGAATTCAGCTTGCAGTACACGTGGCCTGAGATGACATTCCAGATGATAATCTCCCCACTGTAACTGGAGGTGGCGAGGAGAGAAGGTGGGCAATGAGCCACACAGAGAATGTCTTCCGTGTGTCCATGGTTCTAGGAAAGATAGAGGGGAACAGAGTGAGAAACCCAATCTCCAGTCACCCACAGCTCACTTGCCTGCATTCGATGCCTGGACAGGGGAGGAAGAAGGGTTCCTCCTGTGGTTACCCCTGGAACCTGGTGGCCCAGCCCAGGGGGTCAGGGCAACCCTCACAGATCAGCCAGAGAGGAGCTGCATCCTCCTGAGTCAGTTTCATCACCTTCCCCGGGGAAGTGCTACTTCTATCAGCTTCCTTACCACCCCCAGTGCTAGCAAGGAGGCTCTTTGCAAGGAGCCCTCTTTGGGGCTGAAATGTTGATGGGAATGTGACAATGGAACCCAAGCACTGACCAAGGGGGTCTGGCCTCCCATGAGCCCCAGGTCTAACTTCCAGGGTGTAGAGTCCCTCAGCTCAGTTCCTCCAGGGCTCCCCTCTGCCCCCCAGTGTGGCCTACAAGTGTCCTTAAGAATTGGAATTACCTACTCTCCTTGAAAGGAGGATTTGGGTATATGCGTGCTTAAGAAAGATAAGAAACACAACAAAAATGTTTTTGTTTTTCAGACCAGAGCTGCAGACCTCAAAGAGTGCCTGACTATTCTCCAGTTGAAGGTTGAAAGTTCGACCTTTCTCCCTGGGGTGACGTTCCCTCGTGAAGAGAACTTCTCCTGGGGCTGTAAAGGGCATTCTTTCTCCCTCGTCTCCACGTGCTTCCCGCAGAGTGTCCCTTGAGGACCTCTCTATTATCGGCTAAGACGTCCCTTCTGCCTGAAAGCAGCTGGGAAGGTGGTGGGAAGGACAGTTGGAGAGAAAGTCAATGACTTCCTCCTCCTGACAGTCTGCCTCCAAATCTCACCTCCTTCTGAGGTCTGTGAGCACTGGTGTCTGGAGGTTCTCTCTCCACGGTCCCCACTACTTGCGGAATGCAGTTTACATGCCTTGGATGGCTTTCAGGCTCTGGTTTAATTTCCAGCCTCATTTCCCTCCTGTACCTGAATCTCCAGCCCCTCAGACTCTTCATAGTCCTTCCAGACAACGTGCTTCTCCTGCTTCCAGACAGGCCTCTCCCCATCTCCCCCATCCAGACTGCCTTTTTCTGCTTGGCCGCCCAGAAAAATCCTAGTAATCTTTTAATATCCTCCATGATGTTAAAGCAAAATTGGTAGTTCCCACCTCTGGGTTTCTCTAGTATTTCATACATTATTACATCATCTGTCACATCGTATAAGGATTACTTCCTTAGCTTATCTCCTTGCCAGTCTGTGAGACTCTGGGCTGGGAATCACACTTTATTCATGTTTGTATCCTATGTGCCTACCCACAAAGGATGGCACTATGTCAGTGCTTGATAAGTAGGGGTTGAAAGAATTGATAACTGAATGAATAAATATTTGGATGAACTAATACCTCCCTGACCCTTGCATGATTTCTGCCCTTACAATGGCTGTGGCTTTCCTAGGGGCATTTTCTGCAGACTCTGTTCTTTCACTTAATAATCACTCATCTGTAAACTTCATAAAGGCAGGGACCATGTGACGACCACTTTGCTCATCATTGCAAGCTCAGTGGCCAGCACAGGCTGGGCACATGTTTGTTGAATGAAAGCCCATTATTAATATAAGCTAGGCACTGAGCTACATCCTGGGAATACAATGGAGAAAGCAGCCGAGGTTTGTCTTCATGACTTTGTATTCTAGTGACTTGTGGCTTTTGGAATATACACAGGGCATAATGTGGGGTTGGCTGGTGGGAAATGCTTGTGCACAGTGACCTTCCTTTCTTAATACTTGTCTTAATGGCTTGACATCCAGACATTTTTTAAAATTTATTTTTAATTCGAGGATAACTGTTTTACAAAGCTGTATCGGTCTTTGATGTACTACAACAGTGTGAGTCCAGACAGCTTTGAGGGAGATCATTTGGCTCTGGGAAGCTGTAGAAGGTTGGGGGCAGTTTAAGTGCCTATAAGGATTATAAGACGTTCCCTGGCTCTGGGTCCCTAACAAGCCATGGGGCAGCAGGAATGTGATTGCTTAGGTTCCCTGGCTGCCCAAGGATGGCACGGTGAATGCTTATGGTTTTGCACTGGAGCAGAAGCAGGAAGTGGATGCTTCCTTGAAGAAAGTCACCGCCAGCAGGTCCTGGACTGCCATTCTTCCACAATAGGACTCCAGGCTGAATTCAAGGAGAGCTGTGCGGACTTGCTCCTGGGCCTCATGCCCCAAACTGACCACAGGCCATCACTCCACCTGGGACAGAAGCAGCTGCCTAGAGCTCAGGGCTCCTGGCTCTACCTGGACCCAATCATGAATCCCACCACACTGGAGGCTCTTGAGATGCTGTGACCACCCTAGGTAGGCCCAAGGGACTCAGGATGAGCCTCTAGAGGGAATGACATCCCCATCAAGTGCCACTGTTTGGGTTGAGAGTTGGACAGTGGACCAGGGCTCACCAAGTCATCTTGCCAGTGTGGCTGTGGCTTCCTGAAGTGATGAAAGTCACACGGTGTGTCCTGCATCCAAAGCCAAATAGAAGACGTTGTACCAGCAGTAAAATGAGCTGCCAACACACTCACAGCTTCAGAGAGAGGTGCTGGCACATTTTACAACCCTACCCCTCACTCCACCAGTGATGTAGATTTTTGAAATGTCAAAGCAAATTCCCCTAGTGCTAGTGGGAATAAAAAGCAATCCACTCCTGACGTTTGGGTGATTGCATTTCAGCAAATCATATGCCAACTGACAAGCTCTCCTTGGATGGTCTGCATAGCTTGACCTCCATAATAAGACCCATAGCTGTTGCATGAGCTAAAACAAAAGCCATCAGCCCAGGAATCTATAATACGAAAGGGCGAATTCAATGCCAAGACCTCTCAGGTAGTCATGTTGCAGATCATCTGAGGATGCTAGGCTTAGGCTGTGAAATACACCATACTTTCAAATGAATAAAGAACTTACAATGTTTAAAGACTTTGGAAATACAGAACCATCAGCATAGCAAGCAAGGGAAATAAAATGCCACAGGTAGATTTAAAATGCCGTTTTAAGTTAGAATTTTCATCTTCCCCTATTTCTTAATTCCCTTTCCCAACTGTAAGTCATAAAAAAGAATTTTTTCCCACAGAGATGCTTATAGATGGCATTTATTTCCTTTTCTCATTTAGAGAGGGACTGGGGCACAAAGAAAGAAATGATAACCCACTCTAGCATTCTTGCCTGGGGAATTCCATGGACAGAGGAGCCTGGCAGGATACAGTCCATGGGGTTGCAAAGAGTCGGACACGATTGACTCACTAACACTTTCACAGGGAATAAAGACAAGATGGGAGAGAGAAGGAAGAATTTAGGGAGCCAGAGATTTGACAGTCTGGTTAATGTTCAGTTAGGGGTGAGGGTATTAGAGATGAAGCTGGAAGCCCCTGCGTGGGGAGGGGAGCACTGCCACCTGCACAAAGGATGAGAAGACCAGCAGGGTGCGAGGAGCTGCAGCTGTCAGGGCGAGTCTGGTTTGGATCCCCGGAGATGCCCTCTCTGCCCCTGAGAGCTTTTATACCCAGCACTCTGTGATACCATGATTTATAATAAGAAATATCTGTTTGGGCTTTGTCCACATCCTGGCACACAGTTGCTAAAACCTTGCAGTTTCTTAGCGATGAGACCATGGAAGCTCCTCGCCCTTTCCCATACCTCACTGTCTCATCTCGTTCATCTGTCTGTCCCAGAGTTATATCCGTTTATAGTAAAATGATAATCCATTAAGTAAAGTATTTCTCTAAGTTCTGTGTGATGCTCGAGAAAATTAAAATAATCCAAGGAGGGGGTTGTTGGATCTTCTAGTCTATAGTCAGTTGGACAGGACTTGCAAATGGCATCTGAAGTGGAGGGGTGGGAGTCTTGTGTCTTGGAAGAGTGAACTCTGCCCCATGGAATCTGATGCTCTCCCCAGGCAGACAGGGTCAGAACTGTAGGGTACCAGCTGGTGTTGGAGAATGGCTTGCTGGGAAAACCCCCACACATCAGAACTGGATGTAGTGTCATTACACTTCTTCCCATAGAAAAGAATTAAAGAAACTGAAAGAGAAAAACTGAAGTTTTTTAAAGGGAAGGAGGGAGGAAAGATGGGGAGAAAAGGGAAGAGAAGGAAGGAGGAAACACTTTTCTTCTGTATCATTGCTTGGCTTATACCAGATAGAGGTATAAAGAATTTCTCCAAAATCTGTTTTTAGAGAGAAAAGATTCAGCAGGGGGTGGGGGTGGGGAGATGCATATCAGTTGGAAGCTGGGTTTTGAAACATCATAATTCTGTACATTTCACTTACAAAGTACACATCTATTCTTCTCTCCCATCCAACTGCTATGATACACCTAGAACAATAACAGATGATTACATTTTAATACTTAAAGTTATCATTTGCTTAATTTTTGCATGGAATCAGCACTGTGGCTTGATTTTGCCGTGTCCATGTGATAAATGAAGAGAGCAAGAAAGTCATCTCTTCTGTTTTTTTATGAAGAGCAAGATAAAAGATGATTTGGTAAATGAGGGTCAGTTTTTTAACTGGCTCTTAAAGGATTAGGGACAGAAACAGGATTCTCTGCTGTTCCCAAGGTCTGTTCCATGAGCAGCTGCCCTTCTGAGGATTACTCCATCCGGAGAGACTGGCTAACCATGGAGGCAAGGACACAAATAGAAATGGATCAAGTACTGCTTTTTAACACTTTCATGTTCAGGAGGGAATTCATTGGATTTTTATTCTTTGACTTATGGCTGCTGAATTTAGCTACTCTAGTTTGTGATTTATTCCTTTTTAAAGCATTTGGTGGAGACGCACTGTTTCCTATCTCTACCTCTAAACCATTATCAAAATGTGAAGAGAATTGTTTCCAATATTCTGGAAGAGACAAGTTGCCTAAATTACCATCAGGGAGCAACCACAGTTTGGGGAATTCTTTGACACATTTCCTTCTGGAAAATTCCCTCTACTATCTTTAGTATCCTTCCCTAGGACAAAGTTTGTGTCAAAAAGGATACCAACCAAACATTCAAAGTTGTCTCTCTTATATTCAAGCTGAATGTAACTCACTTATTTTGGTTCACTTCCAAGTAGGTGCCATCACAGACTTCACCTTGCTCTCCATCTAGAAAGATAATATTATTAACTTAGAGTCCAAGTACATATAAGAGTATAAATGAAGTCCAAGTAAATAAGATAAATTTTTTTTTCTTTATTAGCTCCTGAATCACTTTACACATGTTGGCTTAATCCAACTGATGACTGGGGAAACTTCAGCACTTACTTTCTGGTTTTCAGACCACAGTTAGGTGTCTTTCCAAGCCATCAAAACACAGCTGATGCCACTCTCACTGCCATAAAAGGTGGATTCAGCCCTGGCTCAGCCATGGCAAGAGTCTCACCTTGTCCTGCAGAGTGCCTAACACTTATTGACAGTGAACCAGCAACAAACTCCTGAAGTCAAAGGCAAAACTAGGAACCACACACACATTGCGCTGAGCAATTTTTATCCTATTTACTTGGACTTTGTTTATATCCTCTGATAGTGGAAGAACGTTTCCCTCTGATTTTCCTCATAGTTTCACAGGCCAGAATTGCGTAAATTTTACCAGGAATAGACCCAGCACGTGAACAAAGGGAATAAGCAACCTTGAAAAAAAGATCACAATGGCACATAAAAAAGACTTGCTTTTAGTTCATCTAAGTTCATCTAGACTTTGTGATGTTTGACTTATGTGATATTTAAAATTTTTAGCAAAATTAAATATTTTAAAGATTTTTTTTGGGGGTGGGGGCAGGTGCTTTCCTCATAGCTCATGGATAAAGAATCTGCCTGCAATGCAGGAGACCTGGGTTCAATTCCTGAGTTGGGAAGATCCCCTGGAGAAGGGAATGACAACCCACTCCAGTATGCTTGCCTGGGAAATCCCATGGACAGAGGAACCTGGCTGTTTTTAAAGCATTTGTTGAATTTGTTACAATATTGCTTCTGTTTCATGTTTTGGTTTTTTGGTTGTGAGGCATGTGGGATTTAAGCCCCCTGACAAGGGATTGAAACCTACACCCCCTGCAATGGAAGGCAAAGTCTTAACTGCTAGACTGCCAGGGAAGTCCCAGGTTGAGTCCCAGGGAAGTCCCAGGTTAAACTTTTTAAAGAATCCAGGTCTATACCAGGCAGTGAGGGAACAAATGCACAGGCTACAGATGGGAGCACAAACATATGTGAAGTATGTCCCTCCTGCCCAGTAGTTTAGAGTCAGTGGCGACGAAATACCAGAGAGAAAGGATATAACATTGTTACATGCATCTTAGATTCTGTCTCATTTGATTTCTCCTGCATTTGCCCCAAATGCCTAATGTGTGTCATTATTTTATGGGGACCCTTAGTAGGAGGTGACTCACCATGTCTCAGAGTGTGCAGACAATGTCCACTGTTGTAGCTCCATATTTTCAGACAACTGTCTCTGCCTCCAGTAACCAGCCTAAAAAGCAGAACCCTGCATCAGGACAGAAGTCAGGGGTCATCCTGCCTAACAGTAGAAGATGCTGAGGAAAGCACATACCTTCTTCCACTGGAGTCAAAGGTCAGACAGGTGATTCCAGCAGTGCCATGAGCCCCAGTAAATTCAGACAACAGTCTTCCCGTTTCAAAGTCCCATACTTTCACCACCTGTAACAGGAAGTTGAAAAAAGCAGCCTGGAGACACTGGCTATCAAATTAGAGAGAATTTACATTTAGAGGTCTAGTGTCATAGATATGAAAGATGAGCTTTTACTCTGAAGGTTTCTGTACTTTTAACACAAGTTGGCTTACCTGAGTGTGTTTGTTAGCTAGGGCTGCCTTAACAAAATACCATAGACTGGGGCCATAAACAAGAGACATGTATTTTCTCACAGTGCAAGATCAAGTTGCCAGCAGGGTTTGGTCTCTTCCGAGGCTTCTCCTTGGCTTGTGGACGGACACCTTCTCACTGAGTCCTCATGTGGTCTTTTCTTTGTGCCTCTGAACCCAAGCATCTCTTTACATGTACAAATTTCTTCTCATTATAAGAACGCCAGTCAGATTGGATTAGGGCCCACCCTCACAGTCTCAGTTTAACTTGATGACCTCTCTAAAGACTGTCTCCAAATACAACCATATTCTGAGGTACTGAGCATTAGGACTTCAACACATGAATTTGAGGGGAACACAATTCAGTCCATAGTACTGACTGAGAAGATCAGAAAATTTAGTAGCATTGGAATAAAATTTCCTGACCATATAACTCAAGAGAAGACAGGTATGAATTGAATTTTGAGCAGCCAAATTTATTTACCACCAAAGCAAAGCTGAATAGGAGAGATGACACATTTTCTGGGAAGGATATATAAACCCTCAGCTTTAAAGCTTTGCTCAGTCCAGCTTGTTCCAGTCTTGCAGTTACTTTCTTTTCACCCCATCTCTTGAGCACTCTTCAAATGAAAATCATCTTTAAAAATTTTTTTAAATAAATAAAATAACCTCCAAAAAAAAATTTTTTTTTTGGCTGTGCCATGGCACGGTGGGATCTTAGTTCCCAGACCAGGGATTGAACCTGCGCCCCTGGCAGTGGAAGCAGAGTCCTAACCACTGGACCACCAAGGAAGTCCCCAAAATTGTTATTCTGATAAACTTTGGTATTACATGTAACTATGCATGTGTTAAGTTGCAGTTCACAAGTAATGTATTGTAAACATTTCATTGAACTCTATTAATCTTCATTGTGCAGCTTATAAGCATTTTGTAGGTGTCAAAATTTGATGGTCCCTAGTGCTCAGTTTATACAAATCAATGAATACAATGTGATATAGTGGTATTCATAAATTCAGGCCTTATCAAGATCTTGGGCAATGGAGTCTAGATGTCAAGGATTGTGATAATGGGCATGACTATGCTACAAACATTTCACACAGCAACAGATTTGCAAGGTGAGCAAACACTTAAATCAATAATTTAATTCAGTAAGTATAGGGGTGTTTGTTACCAGCATGTGCCTAATACAGTTATAATTATAGAGTATTTATATCTCAGTTCAACCTCTACTTACCACCCACCACTGGGGGAGACTTGCATATCAGTGTAATGCCATTGAGGGAGGCAGGCTGTGTTAGCACAGAATGAGGAGCCCGAACGCTAATGGAGCCATTCATTCTGCCTGGATGTGGGAGGGGATCTAGGACTGTTACAGGGGCTGGTATCTGAGTTGTGCCTTAAAGAATAAGAAGGGTTTTGACAGATTAAGAAGGAAAGAAGAGGGAAACATAGGTGCTCTGATTCCTGCCCTCAAAGGCCTGAAGAAACTGTTTAGAGGCGAGGCTTGCACGCATGAAACCGAGCAGAACACCACACAGAAGGCTCGGTGGGTGATCAGGAAGAGGGAGGTGCCCGCACAAGTCAGGGTGCAGAAGGCAAAGTTTCCCTGGTGGAGACAGGACTTGAGTTGGACCTTGAACAGTTGCTTATGTGTGTGTAGGAAAAGAGCAGGAAGCGGGAAATTCCAGGGTGGAGATGGGAAAAGTTTGCACAGAGCCAGGGGGCAGGAATGTGCAGAATGCTGAGAAGGGTGATAAGGCTGACTTCCTTGGAGTCAGAGGTGATTCTGCTAAATCTGGAGGATAAATGCTTCTCTATAAGTTTGAACCCAAACTATGCAGGAACCCACTTTCTTTGAGATGAATTGAGACTGAGTCATCATAAAAAATTTTTGACCAAGGGATCAGGTAATCTACTTCTTTTGGTACTTAATAAGACCATGGTGACCACTAATCTCTGGATCAGAAGCTTGACAAGAAGAGATGCTGGGAGTGCAGCTGAAGTGAGTGTGAACAGGAAGAGGATGTGTCCGGGCTATGATGCTCCTGATGCTGTAAATCCTAAAGACAGGGTGCACCAGGTCTGGCAGGAATGAGGGAAGAGGTCACAGGCACATGCCCAAGGACACTCACGTGCAATGCTAGAGCCCAGGTCAGTAACAAAGGAAGTGATTGAACTAATAGTAGAAGATTTCAGGACATTTCAGCAGCACCAGTGTACTTGGGATGTGCCCTTCCATTGCCTCAAGGACAGAAAAACATGAGTTGTGGGGTGTCTGTGTTTCCCTGCTCTAGTTCCTTGTTCAAGGAGCAATGATTACTGATTATGGCCCTTCCTGTGGGCTAGACACTGTGCAGGTCCTCCAGGGTGGGGCCAGCAGGGTCCTCAGGAGCTCTGCTGAGAGGGGAAGTAGATGGCAAGCTCTGAACCCTCATTCCCAGATTAGACTCACAGTGGGTTAGGGGCACATTGATCATCCTATACCACACAAGAGCATTGTCATGAAGTCGTAACCATTCCATCGGACCAGACAGACTGTCCTTCCAAATAGCTCACACTGCAAGTCCCTGCAGAATCTGTGGGCTCTTCCATCCATGTGAGCATTCATGGAAGAGTGTCCAAACACTACAGGTGGTCAGCAGAGCAGAACTGAACCTCTCGTTTTCCACTTCTAGAGACAGATTGTCCCCGGGACATTCTGTTCCCCGTGAAGGTGAGGACAGTGGGGCCACACTTGCAAACACATCATTGCTAAACAGGCTACCACTTGACACTTACAGATGCTTCTGAGCAGCTGATCACCTGCCTGAATGTTGGGTTGTACCGGCAGCATACCACAGGTTCTTTGTGGGAAACCACCGGGTGAGGCTCGTGGGGAGAACTTGTTCATGAAAAACAGAGGGAGAGAAAGAGGATGAAAATTTGAACTGAGTGCATAACATGCATACCCAGGACGACACATCGATCGCTTGATTAAGACCCACTCAAATGATGGGTCTGTGACCTTGGGCAAGTCACTTAGCTGCTCAAAACTCTACTTTAAAGATCTATTAAATAGGGATAATGGTATCTACTTTAAAGCATTGTTTTGAGGATTAAATGATAAACAATATATATAGTCATCCCTCAGTATCTGTGGTTTGGGGGGGTTGGTTTGAGGATCCCCAAGAACACCAAAATCCACGGGTTCTTGAGTTCCTTATGTAAAATGGCATAATATTTGCAAATACCCTATGCACATTCTTTCATATACTTTAAAACATCTCCAAATTACTTATAAAAACTAATACAATTTAAATGCCATGTATATAGTTGCCATATGTGGCAAATTCAACTTTGGGGGTCCTTTTGTTTTTTGGAAACTTCTGGAATTAAAATAATTTTTTTCTTCCATCTCCAGTTGGTTGAATGTGCTGATGCAGCACCCGTGGGCAAAGAGGGCCGACATGATGTCCTTAGCACAGGACCTCACATAACATGATGGGTGTGCAATGAGAAGCAGCCACTAACCGTGAGAACGATACCATGTCTCCTTGATGGGGCAAGAAGAAGTGTGATTTCATGAGACTGCAGGGTGGACCTCCTTCCCTATTAATTCACATCTTCCTGCAAACAAACACAAACTGTATCGTCCCATTCTGAGTCCCCAAGCCTGAATGGCAGTGCTTTTCCCTCAAGGCCAGGCCAGGTCCCAGGAGGCCCTGCAGAGTGCCTCCCACTGGCACCCAGGGGCAGAGAGCTCACCTGTGCCCTTGGACTTTGCCTCTTAAGCCACCCAATCCCTTTGCACTCATCGCCTCATCTGTAGAATGGAATCCTTTACAGAAACTTTGTGAGGAATAAGTGTGGAGAAGGAGGTAAAAGGCTGGCATGCAGTGGACACTGAAGAACCGAACGTTGGTCACCAGCTTCACTCCCTTAGTGCCCTGCGATGGTCAGCCCCAAGCCTTGGCCACTCACAGGGAATCGGGGGACCCGAAACCTAAGACTTGGTGGAAGAGTCTCAGTGCGGGCAAAGCTGGACTTGGCATAAGGACGATTAGAACTTTGGAAGCAGAGTCTCTGCACATCACAGATGAGACCACAGGAGGCTGTTGGCTGACCTGGTCAACATCACAAGCTCCCCAGAGACAGAGCGAGGACTGGCAGACAGTATCTGGCATTCAAGTGTTGGCGCTAGAGAAGAGGCTATTTTTGCCGTGAGGTGGAATTTCAGACACTTTGCTCCAAAAAAATCAACCCAGCAGGCTGTTTGTTCTACACAGTGATACCATGTAGAACAAACAGCAGTTTGGCTGAGACATGCTCCCGTTTTTCAGCTGGTCGTTTTGGCCTCTTGAGTGAAGAGCCTGCCTTCCAGGCCTGGCTGGAGTGATGACCCAGCAGCACCCTCTGTGTCCTCGAGTGGCCGCCCTGCTTGAGGGACGGGGGCTTCAGGCATGGGCACTGCTGGACTGTGGGGCTGCAAGTAGGCTGATGCCTCAGGACTGAGTAAGCAGCCCCGGGGTTTCCAGGACAGCTTCCTATGGGGGTGGGCTGGTGGGTGGAATAGGCTCAAGGGGTAGATTTCAGTCTTCAGGATGATATAGGGAGGTGGTGTCAGAGTTACCCGTGGGCATGTTAGGGAGAGCTCACCAGATATACACTGTGCTCTAGGGTGTGGGGCGTATAGCCAGGGGCTCAAACAGAGTCCTTAGCTCTGGATTGTTAGGTAGAAGGTCCTATGCAGCTGCACTGGGCTCTGCAGGACCTTCTGGAGAGCTGACTGCCAGGGCCCAGAGGACACCCTCCTACCTCAGCCTCAGGTGCAGGAGTGCTGGGATATCAGCGGCCACATACAGGGCTCTGGGACCGGGGAGATAGAGGCAGGCCCCAGGCTCACCCCGAATGCCGCTGGCTTTGGAGGAGGCAGTGAACAAGCAGCTGTTGGTCTCCAGATCCCAGATCTGAGGAGGAAGTGAGAAAAAAGTGATCAGAGCTCTTGATTAGCCTGTTTTGCTGGGTTTCTGAAGCTGTCACCTGTTGGGGGTTCTCTTAGGCTTGAGCAAAGTTAACGCATTGCCCCTCCTCCCACCTCCCCCAAAGGAAAAGCAGTTGTCTGTAAAGGAAGCAGGAAGTGGGGGCTGAGTTCCTGAGCCCTTCTGCCAGGATGGAGCTGCCTGGCAACTGTGGCTAAGCTCCCCAGAGCTGTGCTCTACTTTCCCACCAGGAGATGCTTCTCTTCCATAGACACAGCTTCCTCCGTGGGGGCTCACAGTATGGGTCTGATCTGTGGCCCAGAGCTACTGCTGCCCCCAAGATATGCCCCCATTTCTTCCTATCGGTCCCTAAAACCCATCCCCGGAGGACACAGGCAAGAAACCTCAGGGTGACTATTGGTTGACAGCATAATCCCCCATCCCTGGGTTGGAATCCCAGCTGTACTGCCTAATCACTGTGTGGTGTTGGACAAATAACTACATTTGCTTTCCCTCAGTTTATTCATCTGTAAAATGGGGAGAATAATAGTAGCATTTACCTTATAGAATTGTTTTAAGGAATCTAAACATTTAATAAAATATGGAGTGCTAGAAAATGGTACAATATGGCTAGAATAATACTATTATTGTTCATCACTAATTCTTCTTGCCCTCACTGTGTGGCACATGGGATCTTGGTTCCCAGACTAGGGATTGAACTATCATCTCCTGCAGCGGAAACAGGGAATCTCAATGGCTGGACTGCTAGGAAAGTCCTGACAGCCCTGTTCTTGAAGGGAGAAAAAGTGCCCCTCACCAGAAGCACTGGTGCTGGATTGTTACACTAGACAGAAATAAACTTACATTGTTTCAACCTATGGAAAATAAGGGTTTATCTGTTACAGTGGCAAGCCTTACCTTAACTAACACACCATGCTATCTTCCTTCCAAGAAATAGTTTTCTTTCCACCCTAATTCTTGTTGACATAAAACAGTTCTTTTTGTGGTGTGCAATATTAAATGCACAAAAAATAACAAGTGAAAATGGAAATCTGAATCTGTCACTTTGCTCTTCTTTAGAGAATGCCAGAAACTAGCAGACTCCTGAAACATTTTGTGGGTCCCCATGATTTACAGACATGAAATATTTGGGCTAAAAAAAATCAACCAAAGAATGAAGACTATCTGATCAGGCATGCTAGAAATTTAGCTGTTTGCTTCCTAGTTGATTAGTTTTTATTTGATAGGAATAATATATTCTGAAATAAATTACACACCCTATTTGCAAGATAGGATTTCAATATATTTTAAACACACTTTGGGAAGTGATTCAATATGCCTGAATCATCACAGGCAAGATGCTAATCTTGTCATCATGAGTTTAGATTGGAAGAAAATGGAGAGGCACTAGGAAAAGAAATAGGATAGAAGACGTGTCCTCACATACAGAATTATGATTATCTGATGGTAGCAAGTTTTGAAAAAAAAGTGAATTAAAAATATGAAATCTCCAACTTTGTGGCCTTGGAGAATGCCTTTGGATGAATTTGATTTTCAAAATAAATAAAAAACTAAAGTTCATAAATCTTACCATTTTAATCAGTTTTTCTTGGAGGACTGAATTGAGTTTGAGTCCTGGTTGTATCCCTGACTGTGATCTCAACACCTAATTCTATATAAATATGCTCTTCATTGCCATGAGATGCACTCTAAGCTCACTACACGGGAGCCAAGCTGGACCCCACAAACAGTAAAATCCCAGAGTGTCACAGGGCCCCGTTCTCAGTCTTTAGGGCTTTTCTCTCTTTTGCCCACTTTGGCTCCCTTTATGAGACTTCCCTGGTGGTTCAGCAGGTAAAGAATTTGCCTGCAGTGTAGGAGACACAGGAGATGAGGCTTTGTTCCTCGGGCCAGAAGAGCCCCTGGAAAAGGAAATGGCAACCCTCTCCAGTACTCTTGCCTGAAAAATCCCATGGCCAGAGGAGCCTGGCAGGCTGTAGTCCAAAGGGTTGCAAAGAGTTGGATGCAACTAAGCATGCAAGCATGCTCCCTTTATGATCTCATCTACTCAATGGCTTAAAATTCCATCTAAATGCTGATTCCCAAATTTGTATCTCCAGCCCTGATCTCTCCCCTCTCTCAGGACAACTGTCTCCAGCACATCCACAACTGGGCTCCTGATATTATGCTCCTCTCACCCACCACCTTCCTCAACACAGACCTAAAATCTTGGTGTCATCCTTGACTCCTCACTCCCTCTCTTCCTTAAAAAAATCACAGCCTTATTGACATTTAATTCACATACTACAAAATTTGCATTTTAAAGCTTACTATTCAGTGGTTTTTAGCATATTCACAGAGTTGTGCAACCATCGCCACTTATTTCAAAAAAATTTCATTCCTCCAAAAGGAAACCCCATACCCATTAACTGCTACCCACTATTCCCATCTCACCCCACCCCCTGACAAGCACTAAGCTAATTTCTGTCACTGAATTTGCCTACTCTGGACATTTCATGTAAATGGAATTACACAGTGCACAGCCCTTTGCAACTGGCTTTCACTCAACACTTACAGCTTCTCATGTTTTATGTGTTGTACCATATGATAGTGCTTCATTTCTATTTTTTTGTTGCTAAATAATATTCCATTGTATGGATGATCGGATTTTGTTTATCCATTCCTTGGTTCATGGACATTTGGTTTATTTCTACTTTTTGGCTGTCATGAATGCTGCTATGAATATCCATATGTAAGTATTTTTGTGAACAGATGTTTTCAATTCTCTTGGGTATAAACCCAGGAGTGGAAATGCTAGGTCATATGTTAACTTTCTGGTTAACATTTAAAGAACTACCAAAATGTTTTCCAAAGTGGCTGTACCATTTAAATTCCCACCAGCAATCCACAAGGGTTCCAATTTCTCCACTTCCTTGCCAACATTTGTTATCATCTAGCTTTTAATGTTAGCCATCCTAATGGGCGTGGTTTGAATTTTCATAGTGACAAATGATATTGAGCATCTTGTCCTGTGTTTATTGGCCGTTTGAATATTTTCTTTGAAGGGCTTTCTGTCCAAGTCCTTTGCCCATTTATTTATTTTTTTTCCTTTGCCTATTTAAAAATAAGCTATTTGTGCTTTTTCTTTTAATTGTTTTTTTTTTCCATTAATTTTTATTAGTTGGAGGCTAATTACTTTACAATATTGTAGTGGTTTTTGCCATACATTGACATGAATCAGCCACGGGTTTACATGTGTTCCCCATCCCGATCCCCGCTATTTGTGCTTTTATTGCTGAGCATTGAGGTCTTTGTATTATAGGTGCAAGTCCCTCATCAGATATATGGTTTGCAGGTATTTTATCTCATCCTGTAGGTTGTCTAATCACTTTCTTAATACTGTCCTTTAAAAGCACAAGTTTTTATTTTTGAGGAAATCAACTCATTTTTTTCCCCCCTTTAGTCTCTAATGCTTTTGGTGCCATATCTAAGAAATCATTGCCTAGCCCAAGGTCATGAAGATTTACTCCCATGTTTTCTTCTAACAGTTTCGTAGATGTAGCTCTTTTTACATTTAGGTCTATGATCCATTTTGAGTTAACCTTTTTGTACAGTGTGAGGTAAGAGATTTAAGTCCAAAATCAAAGTGTCGAAAGATGTGGATTCTTTAATGACCTTTCTCCTGGGCTTGCAGAAGACCATCTTTCTGCTGTGTCCTTGCAAGGCTGCCTCTCAGTCTAAGTGTCCTGATTTCCTCTTCTTATAAGGACATCAGTCACACGAGATTAGGGCCCACCAATATGACCTCATTTAACCTTCAGTATTTCTTTATAGGGGCTTCCCTGGTGGTTCAGTGGTCAGGAATCTGCCCGCCAATGCAGGGGATGCAAGAGACTTAGGTTCAATCCCTGGGTTGGGAAGATCCCCTGGAGAAGGAAATGGTGACCCACTCCAGTATTCTTGCCTGAGAAATCCCGCAGGCAGAGGAGCCTGGTGGGCTACAGTCCATGGGGTTTCAAAAGAGTTGGACACGACTTAGCAAAAGAGTTGGACATGACTTAGTGACTAAGCAAAAACCCAGCAATTTCTTTATAGGCCCTACCTGTAAATACAACCATATTCTAAAGTACTGGGGCTTAACACTTCGACATATGAATTCTGAAGAGACACAATTCAGCTCAGCGTCTATCAATCATTTATTATGTGAGGGGTCAGGGAGCTGGTTCATGCATCTGAAGTGAATCTGATCTCTGTTCTGAGGTTCCAGCAACTCACATTGCTCTAAACGTCCATCCTCTGGCCCTGTGACAGTCCAGAAAAGAAGGTGGATGAGCAATGGAAACTTGTCACAGTCACTGGAAAAGCACATGAGGCGATAGATGAAACAAATCAGTGAGGCTTTTCTTCTTTCTTAATTAAAAAAATAGCGTATTCCAGAGATATTAGAGTGACTGGGCTTTAGAGGCAGACAGGACCCTGGGTATTAAAAGAGGTATGAAGGCAAACAAAATGAAGGTAGGGATGTTGCTACCTCTGCCAGGGCCAGAAAGGTTTAAATTCTAAGCCTTAGAGAAAGCATTTCAGAAAGGGCCCACTTGCTCTATGTGTACTGCAAGATGAGATGATTACCTCTAGTGGCAAAGGACTGCTGACTCCTTCTGTCCCAGTTCCGTCCCCAGTTCCCCCTCTCCCCAACCTGCATTCTCACAAGGAATCTCTGGATGGGATATAAGCAGAGGACTCAGTGCTATAATGTTTACTCATCCCAACAAAACAGCAGGTATAGAAAGTTCTCGGAGAGGCTGCCCTTCGCCTGCTTGCCTATTCTCCCTTTCAAAAGCAGATCCATGGAAGCAAATGCCATCTGCTAATCAGAGGCCCCAAAGGCTCCAGAGACAGGAACGAAAACATGAAAGGAACACCTTCTCTGTCTAAAACCGTGTTGGATAACACATCGAAACATAACAGGGCAAAGACCTTAATAGTGTTGTCGGTGGGCATGGAAAATATCTTGTTATCCTCAGCAGACACATGGATGTAAATCACTGGAGCTGTGTGGCTTCTCAGCATACCTGTTGGTTTTCTAGAATGGAAAAAGAACAGATGAACACCAGGCAGTTCTAGCTGAGGCTTCTAAATAAAAATGCAAGACTAAACTTGGCCCAGATCTGGCAGCTCTACTCAGCCTGAGGAGGGTTATGTCTCCCTCTGAAACGACACACGTATATATCTTGTGTGATAAAAGGAGTGAAGCAGATAATGTGCAATTATAGCAACACAACTCGGTGTGAGATGAAGCCCTGGGCTTTGTTTTCTCCCAGGGCTGACAATATCGCTATAAAAGGAATAAGCTCGGAAGAGCGCAGGGTGGGGTTGGAAGAGACTCCACGCAGGTTGTTGCTTTATGCAGTATTCAGATCTGGTGTGAATGTCTTTCTAATAAGAGTTTATTTTAAGGAGTTCTGAGGGATCGCAGGGCCCTGAAGGGTGCAGGGCTGCGTGTGCTGTGGGAGGAGAAGGGACTCAGGGCTGAGTTTGATGGGGAGAGAACAGTGTCTTTTTATAACCACGTCACTGGGAAGTAAGCAAATGTTTCTATCTTCTGACAAACAGGAGGCTAAGGTAATAGAAGTGGATAGAAAAATCATGTTTCTTTTTTCCTCCCTTCCTTCCATTTCTTTCCTTCTTATTAGGCATCAGACATTGCACTGAGTGCCCTGCATGGATGGTCTCATTTGCGATCTGTACTGCTAATCTACAGAAGACTCCCAAGAGTCCTGTGGGCTGCAAGGAGATCAAACCAGTCAGTCCTAAAGGAAATCAACCCCGAATATTCATTGGAAGGACTGATGCTGAAGCTCCAATACTTTGGCCACCTGATGCGAAGAGCCGACTCATTGGAAAAGACCTTGATGCTGGGAAAGACAGAGGGCAGGAAGAGAAGGGGATGACAGAAGATGAGAAGGTTGGATGGCATCACCAACTCAATGGACATGAGTTTGAGCAAATTATGGGAGACAGTGTAGGGCAGGGAAGCCTAGTGGGCAACAGTCCATGGGAATGCAGTCCATACGACTTAGCTCACTGAACAACAACAACTACTACTGCTAATCCAGGAGTGGATATTCTTGTTATTGCTGAAGAGGGACTGGAGGCTGCAGCCCTTGCTCAGGATCATTCAGCTAGAAAGGGACAGAGGCGGGACAGAGGCCGGATCCATGAGCTCACTGCCTTGGAGCACTGCCCAGCAGCTGAGAGGGCAGGGGTCACCTGGCAGGACCTCACTGATGTCTGTGCAGAGGCTCAGCAGTAACCTAGGCTTTCTGTAGGTGACTGGTTCTTACTCCAAACCCCATATCAACTCCCCATTTCCCTCCTCTCCTTCCTTCTTCAACACTTGTCAGCAGAAATGACACAGCTTTTAGCAACCAAGTTGCATTTAAATCCTAATTCTGCCATTAGTACCCCAAAATTACTTAGCTCCTCTGAGCTTCAGTTTCTTCCTTGGTAAATGGAGTTGATATGAGGATTAGAGAGAATGAATATGGGGCACAGTGCTCGGTACCAAGTAGGTGCTCAGTAAAGTGGCAATTTCTGTTATTTCCAAGAAAGCATTACTGAGACTCGTTCTGCAGGGACCCACATGAAGGTGGCGGTCACTCTCAGGAGTATGATAATTACACACTGAAGGGGTGATGGCAACAAGCTGCTCTTCTGATTAAACAGTTTGCTACCCTGGCTACCCCAGTTCCAGGCTTTCCAGAAGAATCCCTGTTTTCTTAGGTCATTTCTGCTATATTTCAGGGGCAGTGGAGTCCTTAAATTAGACGTGGCTACAGAACTCCAGCAGAGAAGTGAGGGTAAGCTTAGGGCCACCTGAGTGAGGCGCCCAGAAGGGACACTGATTGCAGATCAAAATCCCTAATCGCTCTCTACAACTGATCATCATCCATCGTAGGGAAGACAGCAATCTGATCAAAGAAAATACTTCCAGTTGTGAGTGAATGATGGTTTTATATGATCTTTATGTCTTTGCAAGCTATTTGTATTTTAAATGATTGCTTATTAACCCCCCCCACCCCAAATGACTTTGTAAGAGCCATAAGCAGAAATTTCTGGGTTGTGTGTCTGGGAGATCAGTTTTGGACAGGGGCTCTTAAAGTAAAGGGGAATTTTAGTGATCCTCAGTCCTGTTCTCCTGTACTTATGAGGTCAAGGGCACCCTTGGCTGGAGAGAGAAAGAAAACTTACCCAGGCAGATAAGGATTCCAGACTCTAATTATCCTATCCATTCCACCTGTGAATAGCAAATTCTTTCCCTTGCAGAAGTAAATGCCTTGACTCCTTTGTGGATGCAGAAAACTGTTTGATCACATCCTGCTCACCTTTGGGGCAAACCGAGGAATACTTGGTCTTTTCTTGCTTTGACATTTTTCCCAACATCCTTTATCTCTTCCATCTTTTGCTTGACATTTGTTGTTCCCATAGTGCACCCTAAAAATATTCACAGAAAAGCAAAACAGTTTCTCAACATGATCAGTCAATTTTTGGACAAGTTACTAATTTTTAAAGATCTCAGGTTCATTTTCAGCCATGATAGTGTTTTCTTCTTTTTTACCCCAGGTGTTGAACCGTAGATAGTCTGAAGAATGAAAATGATATTGTAAGAAAAGCAAGGTTTCCCCAAATCTCTACTGAGTGCCAGGCATTGGGTCAGAGCCTCCCCATACATGATCTTGTCTGAGCCTCAAAGAAACTCAGTGGGGTAAGCACTTTTACCGCTACCTTACAGGTGAGAAAACTTACACATAGAGAGGTTAAACACTCGTCATCAAGAAAACACTGGAGCCAAGGAAGCACCATCTGACTCCTAGATCAGGGCTTCCAGGTTTCATCAACTAACCAGCCAATGTCATTTACAACTATTCTGACATATATTTGAGTCAAATGACTCAAATGACTTTTGGGCTTATGAATCTACAGAACAATAGAATAAAATAGGAGCATCACACAGCCATCACTCAGAAATGATCACGGGCCTTCCTATAGGCTTTATACGTTGGTTTTGAGACAGGCTGGGACCTAGGACCCTTGACTAGAGTTCTTGCATCTAGATAAAAGTCTCTTCGAGCAACAAAAATACAAGAAACTATACAAGACTAAAAATAACTTAGGTGCGTGTGTGCTAAGTTGGTGCATATGTACTACGTCACTTCAGTTGTGTCCGACTCTGCGAAGCCATGGACTGTAGCCCACCAGGCTCCTCTGTCCATGGGATTCTCCATGCAAGAATACTGGAGTGGGTTGTCATGCCCTCCTCCAAGGGATCTTTCCAACCCAGGGACTGAATTCGTGTCTCCTGTGGCTTCTGCATTGCAGGTGGATTTTTTTATCACTGAGCCACCAGGAAAGCCCAAAATAACTACATGAAAGCCCAATCGGGGCAATTATGAACTATAAGATACAAAAAGGCTGCAAACCAACCGCCGTTTCTGAGGTGGGGAGAGCAAAAGTAGGGTACTGTGCATGAGCTTGCACACAACACTACCAAGGGGGTGGGCAGGTCACCTAAGGCACCCTTTCTGCCTGACCTTGCCCATCTGCCCCCACCCTCACCACGTTTAAGGAACCAGCTTGCCCTGTCTTGGGGAGCGAGCAAGGCACCTGTGACTTGTTTTTGTCTCCTCCTGCTGCTGCTGCTGCTGCTGCTAAGTCGCTTCAGTCATGTCCGACTCTGTGTGACCCCATAGACGGAAGCCCACCAGGCTCCTCTGTCCCTGGGATTCTCCAGGCAAGAGCACTGGAGTGGGTTGCCATTTCCTTCTCCAATGCATGAAAGTGAAAAGTGAAAGGGAAGTCGCTTAGTCATGTCCGACTCTTAACGACCCCATGGACCGCAGCCTACCAGGCTCCTCCGTCCATGGGATTTTCCAGGCAAGAGTACTGGAGTGGGCTGCCATTGCCTTCTCCGTTGCTTCCTCCTGCTGTAGCACAAATCCCAATAAAGCCTTGCCTGTAATCCTCATCTGGCTTCTTATCAATTCCTATTGATGAAAGAGTCTTAGGACCCGAGAGGGTAAATAGTCTCACCAGAAGGTGATCATGAAGGAGATCCGAAATACACTCACCAGTGCCTCTCCCATCCACCTGTCTGACTTCCCCCTTGACCTCTGCCTCGTCCAAGGAGCCTGAAGGACCTTGGAGGAGGAAGGTGGGAGAACAACTGTCTTCACCCCCCTCCCCAACCCCCTCCCAATCCCTCTACCCCCAAGTAAGAATCCTCTTTCATCATCTGTGACTTCAGCAACTGGCTCAAGGATTATCGGCTTGGTCTGGGCCTTGTGCCTGCTATCACGAATTACAACTCAGCTTTCTTCCAGGATTCAGGGAATCCTGAACTCAGGAAAGTTCCCTCAAGGCGATTGGAGGCTTCCACCTCCTGGGTGTGGTGCTACTGCAACTCAGAGGACCTCATGAGGCAGCCCTGCCCATTTTCCCATAGAAATGGGAAATCTCCATTTTTCACTGGATATTGCCAGAATTTTACATGTTAGTGACCAGTTTTAAAACATGCTTTAACTCTGTCTGTGGCTGTTTCTCAGGGCCTCTGGGTTAGGGCGTGTTGTGCAAGAGAGGGCGGGCAGGTGTCACAGTTTGGGGAAGGGAGCCCTCCTCTTTCCACTTCAGAGCTTCTCTTCTTCAGAGTCCCGTGGCTGTTCTCCATTCCCCGAATTCCAATAGGGAAGCAGAGCCATTTCTGAACCGGGGTCTCTGACACCCACATTATTTGAGGCTATATAACCCGAGTCCGGAGTCATCCCTGGCTGGTTTATAGACAGTGAGTTTAGGTGAAGACCCTGCCCCCCATGGCTCCTCCCCACAGTGGCCAAGGGCTGGGTCGGGTGGTCCCTCTGGACCCATCCTTCCTTTCTCCTGTAGCATGCAGCAGGGAAGGTAAACAGGATTGAACTTGCAGCTCTTTCATCTGCCAGGCAGAGGGGAGGGGAAGACAAGTGCTGAGTGTAGATAATTACTTCAGATGACAGTGTGAGCCTACGTTATCTGAGCACTTGAAATGTCAAAGCAATGCAGAAAACCCTCCACAAACACCAGTTCAACACTTTCACCCCTCTTGTTGTGAGCAGAGATCTGAAACATCTAAGCAGGTGTGTCACTTTATTTTTAATTTTTTTAAGTGAAGGGAGAGCAGCCAGTTCATTTGCATGATCTCTAGTGGTTCTTTTCCAACCAAGCCAGAAAGAGATACATGTTTAAGTGGTTGTCATGGAAACCAGAGAGCATTGCTCTCCCCCAAGGTCTGAAAGAAGGATGATGAAAAGTTTAAGCAGTCACCATGGAAACTGAGAGCAGATTCAAGGAGGGCTCAGATCTCAGCACACTAAGTAGCAGCTAAGGCTTCAGGTGCTGGGGTCCTGGTGAATTCTGGCTGTCACTGCAGCTGCTGGTATCAGGGCTGACCCATAGGCCACTTTCATGGTCACGGGCTTAGAGCATCCCAGGGGGTCAGCACTGAGGGCACTGTGTCCTCCACAAAGCTCAGATCCTTATTCTTCCTGTTCGGAGGTGGCCTCTCCTGCTTATCCCTCCCTGGACTTCATTCCCTCCACTCCATCTGTTTCTTCAGTGTGGCAGGAGCCCACAGATCGGCCGTCACTAGGTGGAACCTAACGCTGCTCAGTTTTGAGTTCGAGGCCCAGCCTGGTCTGTCTATGGCCGTGACCAAGACATGTCCCTTTTCATGTTCATGAATAATGAAAGCAAGCAAGCAATTCCTGCCTTCCTTCGCTGCAAGGGAGCAAACGCACTTGAAAGCACTTCCTGTGCCTCACGCAGAGCCTCTGTGCTGGGTTGGTCTCTTCTGTTAAGGTTTTTCCCTCTTGCTGGAGGCGATCCTGTCTGGGGACAGCTGGCTGACCTGAAGCTGAGTTTTGAAGTTCAGGAGTATGTAAAGGGCAGTGCCTTAGGGGCTGCTGAAGGGGACAGACCAGAAATAGAAGCTAGAATTGAGTTGAAGGGGACTGTGGGATGGTGTGAACCGCCTACTTTCTTCCCGATGGGGTTACTGTCCCTAGGGACCATTTAGGGGTGGGGTGGGATGTGTCCTATAGCACAGCGGAAGAGTGTGTGTGTGTGAGTGTGTGGGACACATACATACCCGGCTGAGCAGTGACACAGGTGTAGGACACTGTGGGGATGTGTCGGGGGGCGTGGGTGGGGAGACGGGAGGAGAGGGCACAGGAGGAAATGCCTGACAAGCTCGTCACTACAGACTCTCAGCTTTCCTGGTGTGTATGGCCTCGAGCACTGCTTTGGGAGAGAGATGGATCTGTTACGTACTCTGACTTCATAAAGAAATCCATTCAGTAAATATTTATTGAGCACCTACTTATGTGCCGTGTGCTATTCTAAGTGTTTTGGACAAAACAGTGAATAACACAGACAAAACTCCTGCCTTCAAGGCTCTTGTCTTATGATGAAGACAGACCACAAGCAACAAACATAATAGATAAATCATATAGTATATTCGGGGGTGATTAAATGCATGGATTTAAACAAGGGCAGAACAAGGTAAGAAACATAGGGAATGGTGAGGGCAGTCACTGGGCTGTTCCATCATAAAATAATGTGGACAAGATGGCCTCACTGAGAAGTTTGAGCAAAGACCTCGAAGAGCTGAGGGAGTGAGCAATGCAGGCATTTGAGGGGGGATTTTCTAGGCACAGAGAAGAAGCAGTGAAAAGATCCTAAATAAATTCAAGAAGACTGTGTGAGTAGCCCAGAGAGACTGAGGGAAGGAAGTAGACCAGGCCAGAGATGGAAGGGTTGGGCGGACACCCAGGGCTCTGGAGGACTTGCCTTTTACTGAGTGAGCTGGGTGCCCACTGCAGGATGTGCACAGATCAGACTTTTCGTTTTACAGGATATCTCTGGCCGATGCGTGGAGAATAGACTACAGGGGCAGGATGGAAACAGTGGCCCAGGGAAGAGAAGTCAGTGACTTTCATGAGATGGTAGTAGTTAGGCTGGGGACAAGCGGCCAAATTCCGGGTGTATAATGAAGGTGGGATCAACAAGTCAGAATGGCTTGTGTGAGAGAGAGAGAGGAGTCAAGCGTGACTGCTAGATTCTGGCCAGAGCGACTGGAAGGATAAACTTAGAGTCAACTGAGATGAGCTTGACGGCCTGAGGAAGATGACCTAGATTCAGGTGTGGGCTTAACTTTGATGTCTGTGAGATACCCTAGTTGGAGAGATCCTTTAGACATAGCAAATACCAAACTGAAATTCAGGGGGATGTGCATTTGGGATCTGATAACATCA